TTCCTGTATCTCTGCATTACTCAATATTTTTCGAAAGACTTAAGACTGAGCACGAGACTGACAAGGAAAGGTCACGACCCTGTCATCACCGATTTTCATAATTTTTTAATGGCGGATTGTGGTCGCTACTCTGTGTACTAGTTTGAAACATCTGTAGTTATTCAACACATTTCAGACCAGAAAGCGAGCCAAATTAAAATTTGATTCTTCCTGTCAAAGATGTGATGACTAGCTTTTAGAATTTTTTTAGCGCAGCATTCGTAGTCAAGTGTTTGGGAACGTTGCAGCCTTATAAGTTTGTTTACCAGTGCCATAGCTCCCCGAAATCTGATTTCCGTAGTTTCATTGATTACGCCTTTTTGGCGGTGAGAGAGGAGAGGAAAGCTGTTTTTGGGTTTTGGGACTTTAAAGTTATTTGCTATTAAGACTATAGGAGAGGTCATTTGAACGTGGAGATTAGAAATTGCGATAATACCATATTTAAAGAGCATAACTGAATGCTGCAATGCTCGCAGGATATGTCGAATGAAGAATCGATCATTGAAGGCGATTCTTCAGTAATTCTTTCACAAATATATGGATGATTAGCTGTAATTAGCGCAATCAACAATTTTTCACTACGCGAATAATAAGTGACAGCACATCCGATCGCGTTGGGCTTGATAGTTTTAAGAAGGGAAAGAAATTAATCCATCAATTCGTTATTAATTGTACTACTTGAAAAACGAACTGAAATCAGGAGATTCCAAAATTCAAGACGATATGGGTTATCGAATTGGCAACTTCGACGAATTTGCAGTCGAAATATTTTTAAAATCACCCATCATTTTGATGATTGAGAAAGTCTATTTTTAAAAAGTCACGATGAAACCGGGGCTTTCCCTGAGTTCAGTCAGAAGCAATTAGCAAAATATGGAACTCAGCATGAATTAAGTTAAGCATTTCTTTCAGAAGTTTGGAGGCTTAATCTTTTCAGTGTGTTTCGCTGGTTAACCACATTTCTCATCTGCAACTTTAGTTTGTCTGTTTTTAGAACATAATGACAATTGTTCTGTTGTTTTGTGAATATATTGCTGAGAAACAGTTTGAAAATTTCAATTTGGTATTAGTTACGGTGTATATAACACCCATGGATGGTATTGTGCAGTTGACGGTCTTGTGACAGAATCGACTGGAATTTACAAATGATTATAATTATTTTCAGTCGTGAGCAATAAGTGTCAATGTAGAGTCTTGTGTTGCATAGTTCGAATAAGAAGATATCCAACAATTCAAAAAATTCGTATAAGCTTACTAATTATTTGAACAAGCAATCGAATGGCCTTATGGTTCGATTTCAAAAATTTTTTCAAGTGATATGATTGATCATTTTGATCAAATTTTGAGATGTTAATGAATAAGTATTTGTTTTAGATGGCGTTTCGGCATCATGTTCAACCGATCGACCACTTGTGGATCCATTATCTCCATCCGCATCATCGCAACAGAATATCGTCAAACGAAAAAGTATCAGGTTGGTTAATCAGTCCATCGAATATCTTTATGGGATATTTTGTATTTTTTCTTATTCGAAGAACAATTTGATATCCTGTGTTTTTAATATGAAATGGTAAAAAACTTTACTGATTATTCTGATTATCATTGTTATCCTTCATTAATTTAGAAAAAAGGAACATAGAATTTCATTGTCGGGTCATATTTGATTTAACACAGCAGATATTATGTATATCTACAAAGAACAGCTCACTTCGGGTTTTCCATCTATGCGTTGACTATGATATAAAGTTCGGCGGTCAGCGAGAGCCCAGTTGCTATTAGGCGAATGTTGTGCTAATAAGCCATGATTGATTGTTACGGTTGTTAAGCAGGACCACCCAAGATTGATAAATTCTAGCGTTTATTTGAGCGTTTTCGTTCGTTTGTATTTCTCATTTCATCTGTATTCTCGTATTCTTATCCCTTTCATGTTATCTTTATCTCGTTTTTGTTTTCTGTTTACTTTCACTCTAAATATTCCTACTTTATGCAGCCATCTTTCTATCGACTCTCGACCATTTGACTTATCGTCTGTCAAGTGTATGTTTTTATTTACTGGTTTTTGAAATTTATTTTCAATTCGCGAATGCTCATTGGAATAGGTATTTTCTCAACTGGGATAATTCTATATTGTCTAACATTTTTCTTGCCTTTCCAATTTTGTTATCATGGATTTATTGTCCATGTAAGCAAACCGTGTGTTGTGTCAAAATCAATGAATCACCAAGCGTTCGATTTGGTACACATGCATTCATTCTATTGCACAAAACGATTCAGTAATACTAATTCAGTAATGCCTTCATCCGTTCTGTCTATCATTGATAGTTTACAACAGTCAGTCAACCGAACAAATTCACTCACGTGGTTGATATTCATATCCGCTTATTTTTTATGTTTTTCATCATTCCAATTCGTTCATCGATTGACTGATTCATCAATCTTATCTTGTTCCGTTTTTTAAAATATCCCTGTTTTTTTTCATTTTTCCAATCAGCATTGCATTATCTCTCCAATATAAACTCTACAGCGTATCTTTTTAACTTCCACAAATATTCCATCGCTTCACTTATCTCTCACTCATCATTTATATCATTTCATATTCAACCAGAATTGTGGACATTTGCAAGTTATTTTAATTTCCGTTTTATAATCTTCGTTATTCTGTGTCATTAAATCTAATTTTCTTTTCTTTTATTTCATTCCCATTTTATTCTCCTGGTATCCTGGCTCAACTTCTAGTATGAGTTCATATTTCCACAGTTTCTCAGTCGAAATGTCCCTCTACATTCTCCTCTGATATCAATAGTCGACCGTAAAAAGCATAAATACAAACTGATTTGTTGAATTCGCCACTGAAAACGGATTTAATTCTTGAGTCATCTCTACTGATCGTCTGATAACAAAAAATGGTTTGTCAAATGTTTTCGATCCGCAAGACGGTGACGATGCGATGACTAATAAAAACAATAGTAAAGAATGTCGACTGATTTAGGGACCACGTATTATTCCCTTTTATAAGCCAACTATTGACCTATATTTCAAGCGATTTTTTGCATTGCTGTTGATGCAGTATTCGAAGTTGTTTCGATCATGACCAATTCAGTCATTCGCAACCGAAAAGTTTAGATTTGCATCCTGTCGACGAATCATCCTTATAGACTGACTAATTCACTTTGATCATTTAGGAAAAGTAAGCATTTGATGGATGTGATGTGTTCCATCGCTTTCGAAATAAATTTTTTGTGGGATAAGAAAAAAAAACAGGTTTGATAATGGGCGTTCATTTGTGTTTTGTGTGATTTCGTAGGGTGGGGTTGGAAGAGTTTGTTATTATAGTATTTAATGTAAACGATTTGATGTGTCGTTGAAAATATGAATCATATGAGATTTGTGAGGGGTCGTATTTTGGTACATCAGCGATTTGTTGAATTTCACTCAAAAGTCAGATTGTTGAAATTCCAGAATTTCAATAATCATTTTAAACTTTGATTCTGTTAATTCCAATCTGCGAAATATTTTGGTCATAATCACTAGGTGAGTTTAGTTGCGGAACTGAATGTAATGAATTGATTGAGAGCACCTTTTAAGATATATTTGTTTTCAATGACCAAGTGGTTCGCCACTCTTTGCGGTCATCGTTTTCCTAGAGCATCATATTAGATGGGTACGGATTCTATGATGTTTTGGTACATTTAATGTACTGTTTTGAATTTCATTATTTTTCTTTATCTAATTTCCTGTCATTTCTTTGTTTTTATTTCGATGAGTTCAGAATTTTGGGTTCTGTTCGTTCCAGTTTTCAAAATGTTAAGCTCATAAGTGTTGGCGATAATATTCCATCAACTTCTTTACACATTGCAAATAAAGGAAAAAATGCAAAAATCAGTGGATAACGGACGGTAGTAATTCGCATTGACTTCCTTTTTCGTCAGAAAAATGAATGAAAACTTGCACGGTTAATGATGAATTATGATGACTGCAGGAATAAGTGACAAGAGGTAATGTGCTGGATGTATGCAGTTCTTTTGTTTATAAGTAATTTACATGAACTAATAGATACACAGCTAATAATGTGACTATAATGTTGGTTCTCATAAAATTCATATGTTGAATACTCTTAGTTCTAGTTCATAAACTGTATTTGGCCATAAACAGCAAAAAAAAATTCACGACTTTATTTCATTTTCAATTCTCTCCAAATCTTTAAATTTTTACTTTTTCAAGATTCATATGTGTATTTGTATCATTCATATTTACTGCTTACCAGCATTCAGTTATTGCTTTTTAAAGTTTTCTTCTTGTCCTTTCATTCAGAGTTTGTCAATTCCGTGAACAGAACTACTTAAAATAATGTTCAATAATTCAGCAGTTTTTTTTTTTTTTCAAATTCGAATTTCTTCATTCGTTTATTCTTCATCAACCGACTTCACTCTAATCGCCTCACTTTATTTTGTCACTTTTACAATCTTCCTATTTAAAACGTCATTTTTGCACCACACCGAAAAGGTCATCATCAATCCAATGCAGTGATGTTTATAATTGTTACTTTATTATTTCATTTCATACCAAAATAACAAAATTATGCTGTTTGTTCGGTAATATGCCATATGTAAATCAGTTTCAACAAGTTTTTCAGTCCGTTCTATTGTTCTCTTTTTAAATTATTGAAAGTCCTTTATCATCATTCTTTTTTCCTATTTTCAGTATGTTTTTTGTTTCATTTTCCTATATCTAAAGTTAAAGAAATCGTTGTAGTTTTAATCAGTGAATAGTGACATTATAAAATAGTGATTATTTGAGATGAAATTTGTCCAGTCATAAATGTCAATGATTGTTATTTGAGAAAGAGTAGGAAAAGGTTGGCCTTTGATCACCCGTCAACGAAACTTTTGTGGGTAATTAAATTTGGTTATCGTCATTGAGAGTAATCTTTCCGGGTGCTCAAAGCAGATATGAGTGAAGTAGGCAAAACCATGTAAGGAATGAATATTGTTAATTTTTGATTCGAAATGAGATGAATAATTAGATTATGTATGAGTTATAAATCGCTGTCATAAATGACGAATAAAGTATCAGCTGTAAAACGTATAAATTAAGGCGATTCTTCAACAATCACCCGTCATCAAGTCCAACTCGACCGCAGTCAGTCACAGTGGGTGTTGCTCGTAATAACAGTAATACAGGAGCCGTATCTCAGAATCGACTCAGCGCAGCAGATCCCCTCCAATTAGCGTCACCTTGCTCGTCCGATTCGCACAACGATAATCTCTCAGTGAAGGTTTCACCTTTTCAAGTTTTATTTTTGGTTGCATGATGTTATGCTTCAGTTTTATGACATTATGAATTCATTTAGCTGCTTCAGTCATTTGAATCATTTCGTTTCACAGAGTTTTGTGCACAAGCAGCATATGAATCGCTGATGTAGCGAAATAAACGCTTGAAACGTTTCTCCAAACTGACTTGAACGAGCTTAAGTACGGAACCAATAGCCCAACGTGTTCAGACGAATACGATATATTCGTAAATTTTCAAAGAGTAGACAATGTATGGATGATAGTGGTGATATGGAAGAATGCAGATGAGTAATTCATGAATTGAATTGAATGATGAGTATGAATGCGCTTTCATGGAAAGAAGAAACGACACTATCAGTCTCTGATACGTAGTGATGTATGCGATATGTATCATATCATAGGGAATGGAACGTTTATTGGTTGGACAATTCATTAGGGATATGGATTGAGTGTGCGCATAAAGAAATTGAGTTGAGATGAGAAAGAGGAAAATATGAAAAATGAAGCGAGGATAATATGAAAAGAAAATCCAAATGGAATACTTCTAGGATGGATTAAATTGAATGGTACTTATAGATTTTTATCGAATAAACTCAAAAACTTAAAGTTCACAAAATTTTATCTAAGATTCCATCAGCAGCATTATGTTATGCTATATTATATTTTCGTCTGTTCATTCATTTATTTTCGCTTTTAAATTCGTTTTGTGAGTGTTTTTTTCTGTGACTTTCCGTTGTGAAATATTCTACCTTCTCACAACACAATTGAATATTGCCTCTTATCTCATTTCACTTCTCTTGTATTACCTTTTTTTCAGCTTTGCTTCATTCGCTTAGTCTTTTCCGCCTTTCATCACAGCCTTTCTCTCTTAAGCTTCTCACATTCCGTAACCATAATCATATCCAATATTAAGGTTCGCAGCTTACTGTTAGTTGTTTTTCTTTTTTGTTATGTAGGCTTTGGGGTTTTTTTTGTATCTCAGTTCATTTGCTTTTCTGTCGACTGAAAATTACAAGTCAATTAAGCAATTTCAGCATCAAATTACTGACGATTATTGGAGTTTTTTTTTTTTGATCATTTTCGAATGAATTTATTGTCACCTTTTCTGGCTGGTGATTTTTGCGAATGGATGGTCAGTCATCTTATTCTGTCACTTTTCAGAAGCCAAAATTTATATGTATAAAAAACTTGGAAAGAACATTGAATATGGAAATGGATAGAAATATTGAATGTGGATTTGTTGTTGAATGGAACGCAAATATTATAAAGCGTAAACAAGTGTTGTTGCACTTCAGTTTTGCTCGATGAAGCTTAATTGAACTACCCTATTGATAAAGTGAACACTGCACGCTTAATGAACGTCTCATTTTGATATGTGAACGATTGTTACATTACTATATAAATCCAGTGGCTAACTTCTCTAAATTAGCATTTTATCGTCACACTTATAATGCATATACGCAGTAGTTGGCATATGGGTGTGTGTAGTCGAGATACGAGTTGACAAGTGAAATCTTTAACGTATCCACATTGCCATGATAAATTTGTTCGCTTTGATCTTCTAGAGCTGCTCTATCCTAGTCTCCGTTTAGAATGGGTCTGTATTTAATCGGTCAGTAACAGGAAACGGATTTAGTTTTTCGTGAAATAGCGATGAAAGATGATACCAAAAGTCAGCACAGGAAGTAATTCAAAATCCGGACCTCCTGGAGAGATTAACTTTTAATGACTCAAGAATAGTCGGTTTTTGGCTGGCTCATACTGAAAACAGGTTAAGATTAATCGATTCAAGACGTTAAAAGTGCTAATTTTCGATTTAGAGAAATTTGTTTGAAAGGCTGCAGAAATATGGAGGTGACAGAGAACTGTGATTTGCATAAAGCTAGTAGCTATGTCAGAACTGTGACATAAAGCTAGTAGCATCAGTTCACATATTTTACTAGCAGGCATTAGCAAGAAGATGAAATTCGTCACCTTCTGATACTAAACATATGCTGGTGTCAAAGTTTAAAGTTCGAGACTTCAAACCTACCTATTTGACATGTCTGCAGCAAAATATAATACTATTGTCCGTTATATTGCATTGTGGAAAAAACATATGAATATGCTATTTGCATTATTCCAATGAATTATTTGCAAGAAGCCTTTGTGTCTCTCTCATTTTCAAAAATATTTACCGTTCGAAATCGTTCATATTGGAAGAATTTATATGCTCCATCTAGTTCTCAATTCTGTTCCAATTATCTGTTATGAGGAGTTTAGTTTACGCTTATAATTCGCTTCAGTTGCTCGTCTCTTTTGTCAACATTCTCTGGTCGACGTCATATTAAAGTTAAAAGTACCCTCAGTATCGGTACTAGAGGTGGTTTTCGTCGCGGTGACGTGCCATTAGGGTTTTCGTATTTATATTCCTTACATCTCATCAGTATTCCATGTTTCAATTTATGTTCTACATAAAGCTCAATTTATACTATCCTTGCAGTGTGATGCTTGAACGCTAGTGACGTGAGTGTAATTTTGATGAAGTAAATTTCAATATTTCGATCACTTATTATATGTAGCAACTACTCGATGCGAAAGATCGGCAGCGAAAAAAGCATGAAGAGCAGGATTACCTTTTGTAATTTTATTCATTGACGGGAAATAATGCAAAACAAGATATTCTTATTCATGAGAAGCGTTTGTTTTATTATTAGCATTACATAAATAGATTATCCTCTTCATTTGCTTTCGCAAATAATGACATGATTGTTTATTTTTTTAGTGATGAAAATTTTTTCACTTGATTGATTCAACCGAAAATACTTATTCGCTAAATGATTGTTGATTCAAAAGTTATATATGAACTTCAGTTGGGACATGAAGAAGTGTAGATGAGAAGGTAATAGAAAGTCGCATTTTCACTGGAATTATAATGACAATTTGGTGTTGTTGAATAAGCGAGTTATTGAGTGGGGCTTTCATATCGATCCACGATATATTTATCGTTGAGTGTGTACATCATCAAGCACAGCTTCATAACATCCATTCATCCATCCATCTATTGATGTATCTGTTTCTTACATTCAAATGCATCTGTGATGTAATGCTGTGATCGAATGTCGTGTCTCTGTGAAGAAATGATGCAGTTAGGTAGGTACTCTTTTTTGTTGATTAAATAAAGCTGTCTTCATCTTATTCCAAATCAACATCTTTTTCTTGTTCCATTTATATTCTTATCCTCTATTCACTCACTCATCCATTTTTCTTCTTTCTCATTTCATCGATTCATTAATTCAATTTTAAGTCATTCATCATTTTCGTGTGTACATATCTTTCATAAATGCTTCGATCACACATTTCACAGTATGTTCATTCATTTATTCACACACAAAAAATTAACATCACTTTTTATGTGAACTGTAAAAGATTGCTAAACATTGCTTCATCCAGTACCAAAAATTCTACTTTTACGACCTTTGCATAGAACAGGGTGTGAGATGGTATTCCAGGAGCTGCGATATAAGGTTTTATTCTTTATACATTGAAGTAGGCAAGAACGGATTTCAATGCTTACCTTTGTGTAGAGTAGACGGGGGTGGACTTTAACGTATATATTTTAGAGAAGACTAGAACGCGCTCCAATGATATACATTTATCTACATCATAACCATTCACTGTAGTTGATAAAAGAAACGGAATGGATGTTGTGAGGGTTGCGAGGATATCTTAAAAATCTTTAGAGAGTGCGGGGTAAAAAAAGGTTAAGAACCGTTAGCATAAGAAGATTATAGGCATGATTAACGCTACAATAATTTTTGTAAAATTTATTTTCTCCTGGTTATACTTTTACTTCAAACTAATTATTATTAATACTTCAGCACAATTTGCAGTTGGTTAATGCATTCAGCGGTAGTTCATTCCAACGTATAAAGCCATTTGAATGATTATGCTGGTGAAGGTCAAATGTTGTGATAAGTGAACGAGAGATGATACTGTTTGAGTTCTGTTTCTGACGTTTTTTGGTTTAGTTTTAAGAGTTATCAAAGTTGTTTTCAGTGAATGATTTTGTAATCTCATAATTGACTTGACGCTTTGGAAGTAACTTCACGGGTTAGGCTTCAGAATTGATTGGATTAATAGAGGCAAAGATGAGATGAGAACAAAAGGAATAGAAAATGGGAGTGGAAAGAAGTACATAGCTGTTTGATAATGTTTGCAACAGTAGACAAAAATGAGTGATATTCAATATAAGATAACTAAATGCGTAAGTAGTTAAATAATTGTATATGAGCATTATGAATGATTACATAAATTATGTGCTATTAAAATATGTGCATAATAATAGACAATTAATGTAGTTGACAGTAGTGCACCACAAATGTGTAATGCGATACTTGGTAACACAGCGTTACCGCGTTTTAATTGATATGATATTACAATCTGTTGATCAAATGATTCGTCAAGTTATAATTTTGATTGAAACCTTTACCACGTTCAAGTACACGAGACGATTAATACATGCAATTTGGTTATACGCGGTTTACGTTCCATCTGAAGTACGTTATTGTAATTCTTTATTTTACGTACCAACCACGCATCCCTTCAGTTTTTGTTGCATCAGTTCATGTATGTTAAACTCTGTCATTGTTCGGATATGACTGCATGTCCGTGCGGCAACATTAAGAAAGCAAATCTGTAGTTTGAAGAAGGCTAAATCATTCGGTAGAAAGAGTTTAGAAAACATTTGATTTCTGGGTATTATTTCCGCGAATGATATATATTTGTTGAAGATAAATAAAGTGGAACCTCGTTTTACGACCAAGCTGGGTCACAAACCAGAGCTTTCGTTGAAAATTTGTTTCGCTATACGATGATTTTCGACCAGATTTACGCAGTGCTCCGTTGTGATGTGGGGAATGAGTGCTTATGAGAAGATTCACTGCAGAATACTTCTTCGTGATCTCGCGCTAAATCACCCTCTCTGTTTAAGGGTTTGAAATGTTCTTATGCACGCTTGCTGCGGAAACATAGTGCATGAGTTCCACAAACAAGTCGTTTCTGTATTAATGGATGTTGATTTGATTCATCAAATAAGTTGTAGTTGATTTGATGGTACTTATATGGGATGTGTATAAGAGAAATTGCGTGAATAATTGATTGGTTGAGTGATTGGATTGATAAAAGAGACTCGGTGAACTGAATAAGTAGTTTGCGGAATGAGAGGAGAAGAGGCATCCATATTTAATCGACGATGCCTTCTCGGCTGCTTGGTGCAGATGCAGATGGGATGAGATGCGTTATTACAATCTATGATTCTAGTACTACTTTTTGTTAGTACCAATCCATTCGTGTGTTGGTGTGTGCTCGTTGCTGATCGATGTGGTGTGATGGGTTTAGTTAGTCTTTTTTTGGTTCATTTATATGTTCATTCGTTTTAAGCTTAGCCTATGCGAGGCTTGCCTACTGCGTTATGGCTTATGCCTTTCTAACAGCATGCCTTCTTGCCAGCTGCTTGCCTGCTTTATACACTCATCACCGATCATTCGTTAGCTGTACTGCTTAGCCTAGGCTTAGGCTGCTTATTTATGGCTGGGGCTTATTTGTGTCTGTGTAAGTCTAAGTAATGATACTGGTGTTCTAGTTGTTAGCTATTGCTACTTCCTACTATATTATTTCGTTATATCACATCCTTTCGTTTCATTTCTCTTCGAATTACATTTTATTGTTGAATTCGTCTAATAGTTCCATCGATTTCTAACAAACACTAAATAATAGCATTTTCATTTCATTTCTTCAGTTCTAACTATCTATGATATAAGACAACGACAACGACCGCGCAATAATATGATATAAGATAATATAATCTATGCGTTTCAAGTGCATTTTCGTCTCAATTTCGTTCATTTTCAACTTCATTTCATCATACTTTTCCATTTCTTCCTCATTTCATTCACTCTGAGCTATTATTTTGCATATAGATCGTTCTCTTCGATAGGTGAACTTCTCAAAGCCATTTCTCAATTCAGTCCTTTCATCCTCTTTCCATTCCTTTTCCTATTCCTCCTTTCACATCCATATCCTTTTTATAAGTATAAATCTTCGCATATCCTCACACCTTTATCTTCTCCTAATCCTCCTTTTATGCCCTCTAGCATCATCATCAGTTCATTCCCTTATCCAATCACTGTCCCACATGCGCGCTCCAAGATTGCCATCTCCGTACTGCCAACAAACAATGCTATGGTCTACTTTTTGTTTCTTGCATTCTTTTGATTATCAACATTATTACTATCATCGTTATTAACGTTAATATCTTTTATCGTCATGTCTTTGTTCATTATTGATCATAATCTTTTCAATCTTCTTTCATTCCCCAGCGCAATAAAACGAAACCAGTTCATGTTACCATTTGTCCCCTACTAACATAGGTCTGTAAATTGTCACTAGTTGAGCTTCATCATCTGTTGTGTACTGTAATGTAGTTTGTGTATCTAATGCATTTGGTTTTAGCTGAATAATTCATGAATTTTGATTGAGTCTGAATGCTTATATGCTTGTATGTGTAAGCGAATTTGAGGTGGACGAGCACAGCATGAAATATTATAGTTTCGCTTCAAGTTCTTTAGTATGAAAAGCTTCACAATTTATCCATCAGTTCACCGGTGTTATTCATAATTTTGATGTAATACTTATCATGAACAATAGCAGTCGTGTTAGTTTTCGTTAGAATAATAACAGTAATAATAATAATAATAATAATAATAATAATAATAATGTATAATTATAATAACTCTACAACAGTGAGTTTTTAATGTCAACGCCTAACTGAAGTGTGAATTGAAAGTGACGTTTATGTGCGTGTATGATGAGCGATAATTGCAAATTGTCAGTTTCTCGAGAGAGTTGAATATGTGTTTTTGAAGTTTCTCTAAAAAAGAGCCAATAAACTGATATTGCTTTCTTTTAATTCATCATCATATTTATTCGATTTCATATTTTGTTTTATTTCACTTCACTTCATCCAAAATGTTGTTTTATCAAAATGTTCTTTTTTTCGATCATTCAAAGGAAATTAGGTAACATTTCATCGATTACCATTTCATGGTAGTATATTATTCAGTTGTTATCCCCGGTGATACTATTCTCAAAGAAAACGAATGAGAATTGTTCGTTTAATTGTATTGCTTTCTTTTATGCAAAGAGAAGTTTCATTTAGCGTTGCAATTTTTTCAACGATTCGTTAGTTAAGATATACATCGAAATTTCAGAAGGAATTTTTTTTGCATTTTTGAGACTTATGTGCTATGAAACGGTGTTTTCGTAATAAGGATTAACCGAATGAAGAATGAGATTAATCTTGGAAACTAACAAACATTTACTGTGCTTGTATCGTTTTCCAAATACAGACGCAAAAATCAATTGTTGTTGTTTTGCTTATTCGAATATTCTGCGCATTAAGTAGTGTTCAGATTGGTACTTTTTATTTGTGACAATGAATTATTTGTGCAAGTGTCATTAAGCTTTCTTCTTGTTCAGAAGATATCTCTCACTGCGATCATCATTTGAAATGTTGAACTGCCTTTCTAAGCCAGTAATCATTATTTTCCAGTCTTGAGGGTATTAGAAATTTCTGATTTTTTTTCCATTGTCACAGTCGTTGTTCGAAAATGATTGATGCGTTTGTTTTATATCTGTAAAATTTATCATTCGTTCTTTGTCTTATGAATTGTCTTTGTGGATGCAATGTGAAGTTTAAGTTTCGTTTCATTCAGAAATGTTTTCGAGACTATATCATATCACTTGATTGCATTTATTTGATCAAGTGCCGGTCATGGAATGAAACAATTCAACAATCAGTCAGAACCATCGAATTAAATGAATTCGTTTCAACTGTGCAGCAGTCAGTTGATTAATTAGGCTATTATTGGCTGCCTATCGATTTCGTTGATATTGTTTGATTAAATTCAAGAACAATGATAAGTTCGATTTGAAGTGTCTAAAAGAATATTCGAAGACTTCCAGCTCCTATGGGAGACTTGAAATGTGGAATGTGTGTATCTAATTTGTTTTTGACATGAAGCATAGATTTTAACCGCTTTATCGAAAGATAAAATTATGAAAGAAAAAGAAAAACTTGTCATTCTTTTAAAGTGATGTACGTTAATGATTTCGTATCAAGTGCGTATTTTGCAAGCATACCTCATACTCTGCACATGCACGGTTGGTTGCGTCTATTCCAGAAACCTGTAAGTTGGGCCCTTCTAATAGACGGCTCATATTTCTAGCCTCCAAATATCTAATATATCACCTCCATGGCTCAGTATCAACTCTTAAAAAATGCCTATTTTTCATTCCCGTTTAGACGTTTCGACATTGATAGGTTAATGAATATGTCTTCTTTTTGAATTGAAAAGTACTAAAGAATATGAATATTTGATGATATTAAAAAAAGTGTATCCATCTCTATTTATTTGTTTATATGGATATGTGCGTTCATGCATAATCATATAAATCATATATCTGAGCGATTCTGATTAACCGACCATTATCTATTAAACTCAGGATAAACGGATGTGTAATTTATTTGAATTTCTTTCATTTTTAATCGAACTATTTATTCATTTGCATTGGATAATGCCTTTTATGCCCTACTTTTCTTCATATACAGATTTTGGTTCATGTCCTACCATTGTTGTCCAAACACTTTTCCAGAGTATCATATCCGCGATCATTTCTGGTCGATATAAACTTGTAAATATTGTACGCTATCTTAATATGTCGCGTTAATCATTCATTAATCCGTGATTTCGCGAATATAGTTGCAGTCGAATATAAACATCACAACTGTCTGTTACGCATTTCATTTGATGTTGCATCGTTGCATAGAATTCAACCAGTTCCATTTATTTGATTCCGATTCTCAAGTCAATGTCGTGATTCAGTTTAATTTTAATTATGTGGGTATCAGAAAGCACCGATTGTTTATGAGTAAAATGCACTTACAAAGACGTACAAATGATATTAGAGTTCAAAAAATTATAATCTAATTGTAATTGTATTATTATCATCTTCAAGAGTTTTTAGAGGGCTCATGTGGTTGTCACCGTTCTAGAACGCTTATGACGCCAATAATTTGGTTGTAGCTATGTAATGATATGAATATCACATAGATGTTATTCCAAATTGATTTAAGTGAAATATCTAATTTCAGGAAACAACAAGTGATATAAGTGGTCAAGGACGAAGTGTTTTATCATCTTGTGTTAATCAGTCAACGTCACTCGCATTAGCACAAACTGACGAATCACTACAATTATCTAAAACACCAACAATTGTTGATTCAACAATTGATCAATCCAGTTCAATATCAGATCAGCCAGATTTTGAACTTCCTCCACCGATGAGTGAGATTAGCAGTGCTATTGCTGATGCCGCTGCTTCACACTCTACTTCGGTATTGTTTTTGAATTTGTATTTTTTTGAATTATCATTCGTATTTATTTGCGTGCTATAAATGAGCTGGTTTTTTTTTTAAATCAACTTGTATGACTTATTGGTGTCAAGAATGAGGGAATGGAGATTTTATAATTGCTTATGAAAACTATCAATTTAAAAGTAGAGAAGTATGTGCGTGAAATATGTTATAAATAAATCTCTGTTTCAAAAAAAATGGAAAATCTTTAGCTCACCCCTCCCCCACCGTCCCCTTTCGCTTTAATACACCTCTCTTTTCATTGAATTGATCTTTCACTCAAAAAGAAAACTTAAGAAATTTACGTCCGCTTAATTTCTTAATCGGAGAATTACGATATATATACATTTATGCGCAGTATCAATTCTACACAACTCGCTATTGCTCCCCTGGGTTGAAGCAGTTCGATTCATTGAGTAATAAGAGAAGCAAAAGCTGCAGGCAAGAGACAGACTGTGCAAGTGTTTAAGAGATAGATTGGTGTATGTATTTGGAATGTTACTCCATGAGTATTAGTATTCGTTTTGGTGCAGCTTCAGAAGTTCTTAAATTATATGCTGTGCTGAATATGCAAGCCTTGTTTGGAAGTATGTAGGTGAAACGAGTTCTAAGCACACAGATTTTAGACGAACTTATCGTAAAAGTTGACTTTATTGGTATGTGCATATTGAATGGGTATGTGTTTAACGAGTTAGGAAGCACTTATTTTGTTAATATAATAGCAACCAACAACAGGCTCATTGAGTATAAAGCAAAGCTGATCTTAATCTCTGTTCAACAAACTCCCACAAATTGCTCGTATTGAATGAATGTAATGATTATGTATGCGTGGTCCAGTCGTTTAACTAGTCTTTGTTTTTGTTGATATGTCATTTCTTTGTAAATAGTGTAATTCATCTCGAGCCATCATCTGCAGCTCATAAATTCATTATAACTGAATCAAGACAATTGATGAAAAGGAGAGAGAAAAGAAAACTGCAAAAACTGAATTTCAATACAACAGCGCTGTTGAATTTTATCAACTCTGAGCACTTGTTAACGTTTCAGTTTTGTTATCCACTCAAAAGATTTGATGAATTGTTTTCCACATTTATATACAAATATTTGTGAATTTTTCTCCTTATACGTAAATTCGTACAATTTTCTTTCCCTCATTTGTTTCAATGTACCACCGTTGCCCATTGTCGCCATTGTTGTTAATGTTGATTTTATGGCCTTCGTTTCTCTAACAATAGTCGTGGTTTAGCAGTTCTTCCGTTTTCCTTTCATAACATTAATATATGTTGATTTATATCATATTTGAGAATGGATATTTTATCGCAGGTTATGTCGCTCATTCATTTGTTTTCAAATTTGCATTTTTTTCCATTCTGCTTTCAGTTCACGTTTCGTTTATTTGAATTTTGCTTTTCCTGCCTTCTAGTTTTACGAAATGTTTACTTTTGTTCCTCTCCAATTTAAATTTGATGATACCGTTTGTCATCATAAATTAATGTTTTCGTTAGAATGGAACGAATTGAAAATGGGTGGAACACATCATCGATTAGCCAATTTTGTATTAAATTACTCTAATTGTAAATATGCGTCTTCATTGGTATTGTAATATAAAGTAATATCAATAGCGTACGCGAGGGGATGGGAGATTAACAAGATAAATTCTGCTCATTGAAATACCAAATTTTTCATTAACCATTGAGATATGCAACGAACATTACGGTCAACGCTCGTTTTACCGTTACACTTCTTCGAGTGCAATTACATTTATCTTCTTTCATTTTCTGTTTACAATATTAAGGGAAGTTGGTATACTGAAGTCGAGTTATTTCTCTTATTACATCGTCGTAATCATCAATTAAGTTGTGTGTTCTTAAAAGAAGCATTTTGTTTGTTTGAACTCTTGTTGGTGCATTCGTTAAAATAAAAGTTGTGGTGAACATGATGGTATTAAATTATATTTGCGCTCATTGATTACAGATATTTTCGTTCATGTGTATTCATTTATTTCATTTAAGATGCAAGATCCACAGCAAATTCAAGAGAGCGGCGTAAGTACGGAAGTAGTAAGTGAAAGCGAGAATGGAGCTAGTGACAAGGAGAAGAGTGCCGAAGAAATGGCTAGGATTAAACGACAGTGAGTATCCTTCATTAGCTTTATCAATATCCTATCATTTTGCTATCGATCAATGCACCATATCAACAAATGTGTGTTATTAAAAGTTCATTATGGAAACAGTAAAATTGAAGATGCACTTAAACTTGAGCCCTATGAAGGAAAGCAGTGCCACATTTTTGTAAAGATTCAGTGCATATGAGAAGGTTTTTTTTTCACAATTTCTATTCCCGAACTTTGTGGGTGGTCCAAGAAAATGGTTTGTCTGACGAGAAAAGTTGGAAAGTTTTGAAACAGCGGTTTTGTTTTTATTGAAAAAGCGAATATTCAGTGGAAGTTCATTATTTACTCAATTTTCGATTAGCTCAACAGTTAATTCCCATGTAACTTACACGAAATTTTTTGTGAGTCACGAAGTTATATTGATCATTGTGGAACAATACAATTGCACAGTTAACTTTTCTCATTAACGAATTGTTATGATTGATATCATTATTGCTGAATGCGGCAATTATAAAATTTGAGGTATGTGCTAATGGAACTAGTCGAAACTGAACGTGATTACGTCAAGGATCTCAGCTCGGTGGTTGATGGTTATATGGCGAATTTGCAAACGATGGATTTACCTGAAGATCTTGTCGGAAAGGACAAAATCATCTTTGCAAATATTGCACAGATTCTCGATTTTCACAAAACGTAAGAATTATCTCATCTTTTTATGTGTTCAATTTCTTCTTACAATGATGCTAGGCATGGCTTCGTGATTTCACAATCTGACTCTTCATATTGCATTTGAAATTAGCTTGGTGATGTTTATGTCAACTCAGATTAATTCAGCCTCTTCTTAAAGGTTATTCTTGAAAGAAATCGAAAAGTGCCTTGACGACTATGAAGCTGCGGGTAGCGCCTTTGTGAAATATGTAAGTTGCAATGTTTTATTCGTAGTGAGCATTTGTTGTTTGCTTATCATCGTTTCAGCCGATTGGCTCGTTGAATCTGAAAAGTGAACTAAATTCCGACTGAATTAAATAGTCTTCCGAACTAAATTCTAAAAATTAAACTTTTCGAAATTTCCAACGAATGAAGTGGAAAAGTGAGCTAAACATAGATAATGAAATTACTGAATGCGCATGGTTACATCTATAATTTGATGGGATCAGTTACCTTGTTTTCAGTGAAATTATTTATTTTCTCTCTAGATGCTCTCATCCATTCATTGAGTACACAGTTGTTTTTCAAAATCTAATGGAATTTTTAATGTAATGGAATTTTCTCAAACTCTTAGTGATTGAATCAGTTTGTTATGTTGATATTCTTCTATGTTCATCCTATGTGTGTTTTCCAAAATTGTTATCTTAATAGATGGATTTAAGGAGCGACGATTGCATACATATTATGTGAAGTATTGTCAGAACAAACCCAAATCGGATTATTTGGTTGGACAAGAAGATTTTGAACAGGTGCTATATTTGTGTATTCGCCTGCCTGTTTTTTTTTGTTTTTTTTTAAATCAGACTCGTTCGTTTCAGTATGCTCATTCAAGTCATTTGTTCAATTGACAAGTTCTTTATAGTCGTAGTGCGCAGATGAATGAAGCAGAGCATGTATCGCATTCTAAGAAATGCGATTATAAATGATAATTAAATTTCAGTTTTTCGCCGAAACTAAACAAAAGCTTGGTCATAAGGTTGCGTTATGTGATTTGCTTATCAAACCGGTACAGCGTATCATGAAGTATCAGTTACTGCTCAAAGATATTGTCAAATACACTGAACGAGCTGGTGATCGTCTTGATGTTCTCAAAAAAGCTCTTCAGGTTCGTTAGCTTCTTGATGAGTTTGATTTCCTCAGAAAAGTTTTCTATTGTTTCAAATCTTTTCCAGTAGAATCTTGATTCCGCAATGTGTTCACCACAGTGGTAGTCGTTTTTTTTACAATTTTTTTTCTTTATTTCAGCATTTATTTTTCTGTAATCAAGTTAAAAGAGTGATTCGCTTTAGGTGATGCATGTAGTACCAAAGGCTTGCGATGATATGATGCAAGTTGGAAGGCTACAAAATTTCGATGGCAATCTCAGCGCTCAAGGCAAACTTATATTCCAGGTTATTAATTCATCATCGTCACATTGTTTAGTTTTTTGTCCTACCTTGTCATTCGCGAAATTCCCTTTTGTTACCATTACTGAAATAATATTGCAATCTTTCCAATGAAGATACTCCGATAAGAAGCATCTTATCTGACTTCATCTATGACTTCAATCGTGAGCTCATTCTGACGTTCTTGTAAAAGTGCCAAACGTTCGAATTTATTATGCTAATCATGGATTCGATGTATTCGCATTCTTTGTTATTGAGCTCAATGTTGTTGATATTAACAATGATAAGAGTTTTTACTTTAAAGGGTACACTTGCAATATCTGATAACACCCCATCACAACCATTCAAAGGCAAAGATAGGAGGATCTTTTTGTTTGAGCAGTCTGCAATAATTGCGGATTGTATATTACCAAGAAAAGAGTTCGGTAATCCTACGTATATATTCAAAAATCAAATAATGGTTAACAAGGTTTGTTGTTGATTACGTGCGTTATTGTAGTTTCTTAAGAGGTTTTTAAATTTATCGTATATTGATTGTGTGGCACTTTTTTTATCCCTTCGACGCTTTCGTTGCTTATCGGAGGGCATTTGAACGAAACCGATTGAAAAGTATAAATATTATTGTGGATAAAATATGTTGTTACCGTTGTTCATAACTAATTTCAGTATTATTATTAAGTAACCACTTCTTCAGATGGTCTTAGAAGCCAGTGTACCAGATGAGCCATTACGTTTCATTGTGCGTTCAAATGACCCATCCCAGCCGAATGCGTTCTTGGCACAAGCAAACAGTATCGAAGAAAAAGAGGAGTGGATTAATAAAATAAATAGTCAACTTGATCAGCAAAAAACGCTCCTTGCTGCTTTAGTCGATCCGAAAAGATATCAGAATCAGTTGGCTGGCGGCGTTAATGCCATTTCTATGTGAGTGTTGCAATTGTTCATTGAAGGAGTTGTCATTTATTGATTTTATTTCATGGAGCATTTGTGCTATCAAGACAATGTATCGGTTGTCAATAAAGCGTTCAATGTTTAGTGAGGATGGCTCATCGGAGAAGAAAAAAGCAATGTTCTCACGAATAACAGGCAGTGGCGTTGCTGGCAAGGGAAAAGATGCCAGCAGTGTTCAAACGAATGCGCATCAGCCGCCATCGTCGTCTACAACAAATTCTTTATCTAGTGCACCAGCTCTACATCATAATTCATCAAATCCAGTCGCAATGCAATCACCAAAACACAATTCATCATCCAATAAATCTTCCAAATTATTCGGTTTTGGTAAAAAGTCTTCAAATCCACCAAATAACAAGTCAACTGCATCACCACCACCGGTAGGCAAATTGAAGTGATGACGAAGATGAAATTCAGTTCGCACGAATGATAATGAGTTACTTTTATAGAAACATTTATTCGATTGCCAGTACACAATAGTATAAAATCAATCATTAATAATAAACTGTTTAATTTTGTTCATTATCAGTCCCTTTTTTAACGGCATTCAAAAAAAATTCATTCATCTGTTCATTCTTCTTTCATTGTGAATTTTTTTGGCCACCTATTTTTTGGATCAGTTCTCGGATTACTCCGCAGATTATCGGTTACTTCCAGTCTTTTTCCAAACTTAAACTGTTTAGTTGCATCACTTAATCATATTTTCAAACCGAGATATACCCGTCACTTCTCGTCTTCGTCAGTATTTGACAACACATTTGAGCGACATGACCACTTTTTGAATTTTTTTCATTGTAGCTTGATTGATATTGTCACTTAAATTGATGCACATAAAAAGTGTCAGATGGAAACAAGCAAAGGGTGGTGATGAAAGGAAATGAATTCAGTTGAAAAGGGGAGTCAAGGTGGCCATTATGATATGCTTTAAAGTACTGTTATTATCATTATTACATTTATATAATATATTGCGGGTGTACGCACAAGTGAAGTGAATGAAAGAAAATGTGTTATTACTATTGTTATTGTTGTTGTTTGATGTGTTGCGAATTGAGGTGTTTTTACAAAATATTATATGTCGTTATTCTATATATTATTGGTGGTGATGATGAAAGTCACCTTCATTTATGATAATAATGATATCAGTAGTATGTCCGATGCACACAGATTCATTCCTCTCAATTTCTGTCGATGAAATCTAATTTTATCATGGTTCATTCTGTAATGCATCTAGCTTGTCAACTAATGTATTCATTCCCTAAGGCGGCAAACTAGTGTTAGCAACCGTTCATCGATTATCGTTATCATTAACACTATTGTTTTCATTCGTTTATTTATTTACTATGAAAGTTTTTATCGTCAAATCGGATTACGATTACACCATTAAACAAATCTCTGTACTGCACTTGTGTGTTCGGTTTGCATTTCTCGTTTAATTTTCATTATTATTCATTTCCCATTCAATGTTTTATTTCCGTTTTTTCTTTCTTCTTGTTAAGTGTTCATATGTTCATGTGTGTGCGTGTGTGTATGTGTGAATTCACAAAGGGTATTTATGTCTTTTTTCGTATTTTCTAAATAATGTTTATTCTTTATTTAAGTCATTTTTGATCTACATATAATAGAAACCGTTTCAAAAGCAATTCTTTTTTCAATCATCATTGTTATTCCACTCAATATGTATTTTAACGTGCCACCAACAGCAAGCATGTTTTGCTCTTTATAAATAATAAATACGCTCGTTGAAACAAAACAAAACTTGTATGAATCATTATCTCCAAATAAAGATGTGTGATCAAGTTGATTCTTAATCCAACCAAGCAAGTACAGTTATATTGATTTGGTGTAATGGTTTTTTTTTGAACCACCAGTTGAAGTTGCTGCTAACATGTGTTCGGCGAGCGTTATTTTCTGTTAATTGAATCATCAAATTTACTGCAAAAAAGTCAACAACTAGACAGAATGTCGTAGAACATTAAATGTTCATTCAGTTTTGTTCAATTTCATTTCGTTGATGTATATTCTAGCGTAAATCGATTGAGTTTCTCAGTTTTTTTCAAATATTTGTTCTGGAAATATTATTTTTCATTTCAGTTTTTTCCATCGATTCTTTGAGCATAATTCACGATCTTTTCATTGGTTTGTAAATAATATGAAATTGTTTTTATTTTTTGTTTTGGTCTGAGAATATTTTGCTTTTCGCATTGTTTGCTCTGATATCTAGTGATTCGTCGCAGTCATCGTTTATTCAAATGTTCTGTTGAACGGTTCGATGTCCATCTCTGCCCAGTTATCATGTATTTGTGTTCCATTCAACTTTAATTACACTTCAATGGGTTCTTTTTATTTGATTTGAGCGGAAAGGATTAAATGGGTATTGCAGATGAGTTAATCAAGTAGCTTGATCGGTCACCACTGATGAGGGATTTTTCATTTCAGAATTGTCATTTTCAGATGAGTATTTCTCAATATACATATATGTATTTATGAAATAACTTAACGTGGATTTATTTATGGTGATTTACAGCATACTAGAAATGTTGACAACGATTATTTGTGTATCAATAAAGGGAGGGTGGTATTGATCATATTAATGATAAAAGATTCACAGTTTTGTAAACATTTTTATTAGGTAATAGTTTGGTGATATAAATTTTTGCTGCCAGACTCCCTTGTTTATTTTCTCTTTGATCTCCATGTTTCTTTTCTATTTTGCGAACAATGAATGATAAATTTCTGCTTTTGAAATGTTTCATCGTTTCATTTCTTAAAAATCTTCTTGCAGTTATATATCAATCAGCACATAGTAAAATTTATGTACCATATACAGGAGAATAATCTCTGAGAGTTGTTCGTTTCTGGAGATGTACATGTATTCCAGTTGGAGGCGTGTGTTGTAGGGTGTACCCTTCGGTGCTTTCCGAGGAGAGCAAGTACTCAATATGGGAAATCCTGAATTCTTCATGGGAACTCGCTCGGATATAGCAATTAATGCCATTCTAGGAAATTACAGCTTTTTCAGCAACTAACAGTCATAATGCTCTTATAAGGGTTATTGATGGTCAGTAAATTGTCATCAGACTACGTATTATATGGATAGACATTATTCTAAATCTTACTTTTTGAAGATACGACTGTATTAAGGTTGATGATCGATAGTGTATATTTTCAATCATGAAGGTAGTCGCAAACGACAAGGGATTTTGAACGTTCGACGGTTGGTGCCAATAAATATTCATAGCGCTTACTATGAAGAATGATTCAATATTGGGATGGCGCTTGTACTTTGGTTGCATCGGAGCTCTCCGAACATTCACAATGTTTCCGAAGCCTACAATTCTGCCCCCCCCCCTACATTCGAGTCAACCGTAGTTTGTAATTAATTGAGATTATAGCTTCTTGCCTACGGTTCCTCTTCAAGCCTGTCTGCTCTCGAGCATAACCGATTTTAGATTCATTAGATTGATGTTTTGTTCAGTCATGACTGAAAATGAGCTTTTGAGGAGAATTTGCTACTAAGAACGATTGTCGTGACAAGGACAGCAGCAGCTGTGTCAGTGTAATGGTCGGCTCATCGAAACTAATATTTCTCACTGATTCGTAATGAACCTAGTGTGTCAGTACTAACGTGGATTTAGTGAAGAATAGATTTAGAATAGTTAAGTTGTTGAATCGATGACACATCAATTCTATGGGAGCATTGATCAATAGCATTGATATGAACAGTGGCAGTTCACTAAAAGCAGGGAATGAGATCAACACAGCAATCAGCAACTGTGCTTTCATTGTGAACTTAAAGTGCCGTTGGCGTTGTTCTATAAGCTGAGCAACTGCACGAGAACAGTTAGTTCAAACTGCATTCAACAATTCGATCTTACTCTTCATTCAAGGTAGCACAAACGGAACTTACGTGAGTATGAATATGAAACGATCAGGGAGAAGATGTGAGGTGAGAATTACTATCATTGTTAGAATTGTAATTGTTACTGTCATTATCACTGCTGTTGTTATCATTATCAATTATTATTGTTAATACGATTGCGATTAGCATTACTGTTATTTTTGTTGCCACTTTGTTTTTAAATATTTTAATTTTATCGAACAAACACTTTGCTATGTCATCTTTCTGAAAAGCGTTTTTATTAATCGTCAAATAATAGCACCCTAAGTTGTACTATCCATCTTCTTTCAAGTCTTCTTTATCATTTACAACGGTTTTTATAAATTTATAAGGGTTCCGTCTATGAGTATTTTCGTATGTGCAAGCAAAAAAATGTTTGATGTTTCACTTCATCCCTAACAATTGGTTTCAGATGGCGATTCGCCGGTAAGAAATTGTTTGCTGTGTAAAAATGGTCACCTGCATGGACTGATTGATTGTCTTTCAAAGCAATGATATTTTTGTATATCTGTTTGTTATTCACAGAGAGAAGATAAATTCCATCAATAGTCACCTCGCAACGTTCAAAAACAAAAAAAACGCAAAAATGAGAACGTCGTTTTGTGGCACAGTTTTATTCGCAAAATCCGGAAATTTCTTTCAAAATGCTTTACACAGTTTTTGTCTAATGCTTGCTAGGCTCAGGAAACTAGGCAAAAGGCGTGAAGTTTAGTGCGTGAAAAAGTTGGAAAAATAATCAAAACTTTTAGGGCTACCATTAATTTTTAATTCATCTAATTTTCAAAGCACTTAGTTTTATTTCTTTTATCGTTTTTATTATTTGAATAGTGATTAGCATATCAATGACATGAAGAGATCAATTCGCTAGGAATTGATAATTGCGTTTCAATTATTCTTTCAATTGCTTATTCATTTAGTTAGATATTTAAGATCAATTTGATTGAACGCTGTGAGTATTAATGTGTTTGCTGTGATTAAGTATCTGTATCAATGATTTTGTATTCTTTGTTAAGTGGTTTAACATGTGATAGTTTATAACGAGACAGTTTATAACCATATAATGGGGAAAAGTGGTCAAACAAGAGGGCAGTGGCGTAGACAGGAGGTGGACACTGCTTATAGCATACATGTAGCATTATTTATGATTAAAAATGAATTGTGAGCTATGACGATGTGAATTATTGTTGTTTTACTGACACGCATTCCATAAGGACTACGGGGGGTCTCATGGAGGCCTTGCGAGTGCGAGGAATTTCCTGAGAACGGCAGCCCTTGTGGGTTCACATGCTGAGCAAAGATTGGCTGGAATTCCGAGCACTAGACCAGACTATTTTAAACACTAGACTGTTTAGCTAGGCCACTGCAAAGAAGGATAAGCGAAAATGTTGGTATCTAAAGAATGTGAAAGAACAAAACTGAATCGGTATTATAAAATGCTTATTTGTTCTATGTCATTGTATCTTCTACTTCAGGACCCTTCTCCACAACAACAACAACGTGAACAACTGAGCGCTCAGTTCGTTTATGATTTCAAGGCTGTTAAGCCTAAACAAATTAGTGCAAAACGTGGTGAAAAGGTGCTCTTCTTGCATAAATCATTATTTCGATTCAGTTCGCGAAAAATCTTCTCATTTTATTTGATCGTACTCTTCGATGTCTTTGAAATTTCGCAAGATCTTTGAAAGACTATAGGTATTTATAGCTCTTAGTATGGACTCTGAAAAATGAAAAAAAATACAGGTGAAGATTGTTAATGTAAGAGATGGGAACGCAACGGTCACGAAAGAAAATGGCGTTAATGGAGAGGTACCAACGTATTTTTTAGAACTAGATCATGTGCCTGGCGAAACGTTTGCAGAGCAGATCGAGTAAGGAGAATTTATAGTATTCATTTTATGAATGCGTTTGATTTTGAGTTCACTAAAGTTGATAAACGATCATTTTGAGCTATCGACGGAATTGGTACGAAACAGTAGACGGCAGAAATTCAGCGGATTCAACTTCGACGTTGATGTGTACTATCGATAACTCAATTGATCTGATGCCATTGCTATCTGTCAATACAGATTCATCATCATACTCCTCCTCACTGAAAAAACTTCATCCTCAATCAGCACCCGTATGTATCGAAGAATTATGTGATGTTACCATAAAAGTCAATTCTACTTTGACATTATCATGTGCATTCCATTCCAATCATCCATATACACTCATCTGGAGAGGACCAGCCATTTCGCGCAAAGCGGATTTTAAAATTAAGGTGATTCAATGCTTTGCCTATCGTTAATAGTGCTCCTTTTATGATTGCAATAGTAATTCTCATTACTTTTATTCTATAATTTATGAAAATATCATTCGTATATGACATTCTACAGACCCATTATATGCTTTGAAGTTGAGCATAACTGAAGAATTTCAGATCGAAGAAAATGGTGAATCAATACTGACAGTACCCAAATGTACGTCATCGGATGGTGGTCAGTACTGGGTGCAAGCAACGAATGATTACGGTACTAGTCATACTGTAGCTTGGATTACTGTAGTTGACGTACCACATGTTCCTATATCGATCAGATATACGACAGTTGAAGAAAGTGGTGGTGTTGAATTGAAATGGCAGCAACCGATTAAGGGAAATACCAAGTACGTGTGGTATATCGTCGAGTATAAATGCGATGAAGGTTGAGTCTTATTACTAACACTGTTATTGCTACTGTAAATAACTGACGCAATCAGTTTCTACGATTGTTTCGCTGATTTACCAGTAGATTGACCCTGTTCAGATATTTTCTACTCATCAATCATGTCGTAATAACTACATTTTTTTTGCTTGTTAGATTCGTCATCATCATGCTCTGCGTTTTGCGAAGCATCATCAAACGACTACGATATAGCAGCTGATGGTTTAATGCATTGTTCAGTGTTGATCTCAGATTTGAAGCCAAAGCAGTATTCATTCCGTGTAAGAGCCTTCAATGAGCTCTTCAAAGGACAACCATCACATTCACTAAATTTCAAGCCATCAATTGAGATGATTCGATATGCGGCACGTAACGCTTTTCTTAAAGAATACAACACCAAAGTACTTTTCAAACTTTCCATTCAATTTTTTAAAAATATTTCAAATTTTGCAGTTCTATTCCTGTTCTTTTGGTTATTTCGCTGAAATTTTGATGCAATAACTGATTGACTGAAATATTGATGCAATAAATGATATATTTTCAATGTTTTATCAATGCTCAACAATGAAAATGGTTTGTGAGGTGTATAAAAATTATACAGGGAACTGAATGTAATAGTCTACAAGCTCAATAGAACATGATGCAGAAACTAATAATAATATCGTACAGTATTGCTGCGAATAAATACTAATTATTGAGCGTTGTTTCTTGATGTATTCAACCAATCAACAATGAATGATTTATTTAGGCATTATTTTTCGAGTAAAACTCATAAGAATGATTTTCAGGTGGAATATTTAGATGAGAAATTCTTTGAATATTATACGGTGGGCGATGTAATTGGCCGAGGTCGATTTTCGTTGGTTAAGAAAGCAGTCTGTAATACAAGCAATCGCCGTTTTGCGGCCAAATTCCTCACAAGACATCCAGTTAGCGGGGTTGATTTAGATGAGGATCATATCAGTAAAGAAATTCAAACGCTTAATGCACTTCGACATTCCAATATTGTTTCATTACATGCCGCTGTTAAAACAACGCATGATTTCGTTATCGTCATGAAATGGTTTATACTTATACTTGTATTGTTATAATTATTACGAAGTCGGCATCGTTTGAAATTCGTTCGCAGTTCCTTATTAGCCTGAGGCGGGCAACCTATTGTTGACGGTGATAGTCGAAAAAGTTAGCATAATGGATTGCAACATAGAAAAAACCAACATAAAGGTATCAGTGAGAGTTGTCATTTATTTCACATGTGAGGCACATCGATTGAATTTTTAGACAGCGGCTCAGTCACGTATAATAATATTTTTTGAATGTTTATTAATAAATAAGATTCGTATTGCGTGATCTACGCATAAATGCATTAATGAGAGATCATTTCGATTTCTTTTTCAACAATTAGCTTATCTTGAGTACAATTTTACGCAAATTAACGTGCTGTGGTAAAGGTGATACGTTACTAATTTCACTACCGTGTTTGAATTTAGGGGATTCGTTGATGAAAAAATTAAAGACTTTCTAGTCAACGATCAACGGAACCATGCTCATTTCTGACACAACCAGATCTCTGATTACAACTGCGATTCTTTTCAAATGGATGCAACTAAGATATTGCGAATTGCGTTAACCGAGTATTTACATGCAAAAATCAAGAAGTGAATCGATAAATATGTGCGTCATTCGTGAATAATTCATTTCGAAAGCGAATGATGTCAACTTTCAGGATCAACGGGCCTTCGATATTGAAATACATCGCAAAATTAGGTTATTTCAATGAGGAATTTGTACGTAATCTTATTAGAGATGCGTTTGCAGCACTCGATTACATGCATTCGTTTAGTATGGCACATTATGATTTGAAGGTTGTTTATTGATTTAGTTTTTGATAACACTTCTGCTTCAATAAGTCATGTTTGGCTGCACCCTTTAGACTGCTTGGGGTCATTACTGATTCGACCACATTCTACAGAAACCTCTCAATTTTGTTATGTCAAACACAAAATTGGCATTTCCTAATTATGTGTTTCGCTATTGAAAACGATAGTTATAAACGAATTTCGATTAGTTTTTTCGGAGAATTCAAGAAGTAACACGTCCTTTCCTTTGGTTAATTCTTACCCACTCATACTTCATGTCATAATCAACTCATATTTCTTCCTCATTTCAATGTGGGAAGGGTAAATCGCATATTTTCTTTCATTATTCCATTTCTGTTTGCATTATCACTCTCGAGTTCATTCAAAAATAATGTTTCTTGGCATGCTGAAATCTTGGATTTACATTGGCATCTTGTAATGGTGGTTAAAGACGACCCATATTCTCTGCATCTCTTTCACTGAAAATTCTTCGAAATAGCGTAATTTGTTCGATTATGTGGCAAAGAAACGCAAATATCTAGAAGAAGAAAAGATAAGCTATCTGCTGTCAGAGCGGTTCAGGATGCTTGGATGCCACTTAGTTTCGATGCGTCAGCCCCAATCGCTTTGGCTGAAATGTTGGTATTGTTTCGCAAGGGATGGCTGTCTATGCGGTTTGTGTCATCGAAACAGAGCAGAAACGGTTGAGGTGCATTTGGTGCAGAATCCCATTACTTATCGGATGATGAGGTGTTAATTTTCAATTGTCCCGAAAAAAAGAAAGCAATCATAGTGCTGAACAAAATATTGAGTTGAGCAAGTATGATTCTGAGCAAATAGCTTCTAGTGGCCATTAATACCATGAACACTAATTGTAAGTGCGTAATTTTTATTGAAAAAAAAACATGATAAAGGCTAGTTCAAAGAAAAACCTGCTGAAAGGAGGTGTTACTACTATTGTGAAGGAGACTTGTTTCACAAAACAGAAAGGGGCATAAGGAGGGATTTGATTGGTGATCACCTGCTCATAGAAAATCATATATATACAATGTGCCGTATATGGCGGAGAAGCATCAGTTTTGAAGTCCGATTTAACGTTGATCCGAGGAGACTAGCTATTCGTCAAGTTGAAGAAGAGTGGAAGGTTCAGTGCTCCCAAAGATCACTGATAGTTTCATAGATCGATGCATCGTTTACCTCATTCATTGCTACCGTTTTTTAGCACATTATCTAGCTCTCGCTTCTGTCGCATCATACCTCTTTTCCACTGCTTTTGATCATATTTTTTGAACATGTGTTTTTGTTTTCTACGGTGGTTTATATAATCACATTGAAAAGCTGTATGTATATAAATATTTATAAATGAAATACGCTCTGTCCCTATTGTAAAGCAAATAAAATTTTTGATTCAGCGAAATAAATGAATAACTATGTATTTTCAGCCAGAGGATCTGTTGGTTCATCTGAGCAAACATAGTGCACGTTTGGTGTTAATCGATTTCGGATATTCACAGTATTGTTGTCAATCTTCAGCAATACCACTCAGTTATCAGATGAATGAGTTCTCGTCACCAGAACAGTACTTACACAGATCACCAACAACAAAATCAGATATTTGGTTATTCATTTATACGTTTTGTTGTTGTGATTGTTTCTATTGCTTGTCCAATAATTATTATTTTATTGGTTGATTCTCGAAATACAAAATAATGTTCACGTTAAAATTCGCTTTCCCCATCAATTTCGCTTTTCATTCGAAATCGATGCAGGTCAATTGGTGTTATTTTGTTCGTTTTGTTATGTGGCGAATTACCGTTTGATAGCAGTAATAATGAACTGATGCGACTGAGTATTATATCGGCGAATTTGCGAATCGATAGCGCTAAACGATTTCATCTCTTTAGTGATTCATTGAAATCATTTGTGAAGTCGATTCTTGTTTTAAATATTCAGTGAGTTTTGTTTCTTCACTTTGTATTTTTATTTACAATTTACAATATTATTTACAATGCCGTTCCAGTCAAGTAATTATCCAAGCATTCTTCTCAGATAGATTATTCCCTGTAACCGACTGACTGATCCATTGACGATGTATCTGTTGACATTTTGGTTACAATTATTCTATTGAATAATTTTTCACTTGAATGGAATTCGATAAATGGATTTATTCATTCATCAACATTAATTTTATTTCAGTGAGCGTCCAACTGCTTCTGATTGTTTGAAAAGCGAATGGATAACACAAAAAGTGAGTTGCGAAGAGATTCAGTTGGACGATAGGTGATTTGTGACAAATTTTGAGATAGATAAACACTTGAACATATCAAACGATTTATCATTAAGTCTCCCTGACTTGATCAATGATTTTTTGATAATTATCATCGGTTCAGCGTCGATCACTAAAGATCGACTCCCATCATGCACCAGATTTAGTGAGACATCCATTTAGAGTAATGAACACAACATTTGCAACTTGCTGGATTGGCTTAGACACCTTTGCACCGTTAAATAGGCTGAATCAAACCGCAATTATTATTGTTATTATTATTTTTCACACTATTATTATAGCAACTGTTGTTATTATTTGTTTTTTTAATGCTCTGATTGAGATAATTGGTTATATTGCAGGAAATACCAGAAGATTATCAGCTAGTTGATTACTTAGAGGATTATCTTGAAAAACGCAATATTCAACTGAATGCACGTTGTCTCACTGAAGATATCAAACATTTCAGATGAAATGTGAATAATTCCCTTCTGTATTCATTTCACCTTGTAAATATTTTGATCAGAGATGGGCATGCTACTGAAAAATCGTGGCTTTGCTATCGCTAATCCGCTGAAATAAAAAATATTTGGTCCACTTAAAAAGATGCGTTATCACTGTCAGCGCCGAAACAGTGACGAAACGCTATCGTTGAGCCGCTGATTAAGCAAAATTATCTTCAATTCGCTATCGCTGCTTTGGAGTCTTCTTTCAAAAATTGCAATTGCAGCACTTATTTGTATGGGAAAAGAACTCACTACGTCATTAAACAGATGAAAATTTTTTTTGAATCATTTAATCATTCAACAACAGATAATCATTCCAGCAATAAGCGCCAGGCAATAATAAAACAAGCTTCGATAATGAAGAAATAACTAAACGACGAAAACAGAATTCAAAGATGAAAAGCAGTCAATTAGCGACAACTAGGGTTTGCAAAATCCCGATGTTTTTTCAACCCCGGGATCGGGATTTAATCCCGGGTTCGATTTTTGATCCCGGGATAATCCCGGGATCGAATAATTTTTGTAATATCGATGCGGTACATGTTCAAAAACATTTTTTGGAACCAATATGTTCATTATTAATCAGGAAGGAGTTAATTCAACAAATTATTGAACAAATTCGAGGAGCCAAATTATTCAAATTCAAATTAATATTTCATATAATGTTGCTAATGATCATGTCGTAAGGGCATACTGCATTTCTATGCTAAGGCATCTTGTCTTCTCGGGTCTAAGCTAATAACAGTACACTTTCATGTGAATATGAAATTCTTGATTCTCAAACACTTATTTGCAATGCTTCAAGTCCATTTTCTCGCAGTATTAACGTCAGGTGAATTCTACCATTTCGGAAACTTCGATTTTTTACGAAAGAAATGCATCGCATAAATTATATCATTTGAATTTTGAAAAAATTAAAAGTTCAGAGTTTATCTAAAAAATGAAAAAAAATCCGCAATGGATTTTCATCGAACCATCGAGCACTTACACGTTTGATAAGATCCTTTTGAGCGGAACAATCTGCGATAGTGAATTCTCACTATGATTGAACTCAGTGAGGATTAATGTACATTTCGATCGGATGAAAATGTTTCCAAATAGCGAAGTAAAAAGACTTGTAATCTTTAGATCATGCAGTTGAATTAACAAATGGAATTTTGAAGCCGAAAAAATCGCGTTAGAGGAAACAACTCAAAATTTCGTTGAATTTTGTTGTTCTTGGTTCTTATTAGAAAATGTGATTATCTCTTAGTTAGTATACTTAGAAATGCATCCAGATGAGCGTGATATAAAGCAATGAAGAGCAGAATAATCAGTTGAACATTCAGTGAAATGTTACGTAAAAGTTCATCGAGCTATCATTGATCATGTCATTCGTCCAGTTTGCGTCTATTATCTCAGCTATTCATCAATGATAGAGGGCAAACAACAAAGATGACTGCATATGAATGAGATGGGAATGATTAAGGCTTGCTTCAAGATGAGCACACTATCAAAATTCACACAAATTGACCTGTTTTATCAAATCCCGAAATCCCGGGATTTTTCAAAACTTAAATCCCAGGACCGAGATCTGAACTGAAATCTTGGGATCCCGTACAAAACCTAATTGTTATCCGAATAAACATCAATCATGTCCTTTTACAGCGAAAACAAAAGTGAAGAAAGCATCATGCACTGCCACTCAAATTATTTGAAGCCAAACAGCTTAAAAAGCTCAGAAGGAATGCTAGTGGTGTACTTATATCAAACAATTGAGGTATGATTGAATATTCAACTTCCAATCGTTTGGAAGAGTATGAGTACGGTAAGTTCGAATTTAATACATGTCAGTGTTACGGTGGATTTATGCATTTACATGCCTGAATGATGGAAGAAATATGCATTCACTTGCAAACGAACAGATAGCGGAAGTAATTCGTTGAAGCGCTATCGTTCGCTAAGAAGTAGCTCGCTGTAGCGTTATCTAAAGAAAGTAGTGGAAGCTATCGCTATAAAATGCCGCTATTCGAAAACAGTAGCGCGCTATTGCCCATCTTTGTGATGTATCTATGAACACGTTCAATATTGAATCAGTTTCTGTGGAAACGTTTATTTTATGAAGAATTGAAGTGCATTTGTATCATATTTCAGTTATAATTTTACGAAATATCTCATACGTGCCCAAATTAATTATTGTTTATATAAAAGATAGCATGAAATTGTACTTTTGTATTTCAGATTGCTGACTGATAAGTAATAAAGCGATTCTTAATCTTAAACGATTGCTGTTCATTAAATTCAAGAATAAAATTTTGTTTGCACGAATCAATTCAAATAATTTTTGGTTGCTATCATTGCATATTGGTTATATTTTCCTATTTAACAGTTATTTCTTATATTTTATCGCAGTCCCCGTTGGCAGTATGATACTGCTGAATAAAAAGAAATGATATAAAAGTTTATCCTAATCATTGTTTCGATATCATCTATTGTGAATTATGCATCCACCGTAAGTCGATAGGATCTGCATTGCATTTCAAAAAACAAGTTCGTTCAGATGACCGATTATTGACATGATTTCATTTTTGATCGTATAATATGTGTACGTACGTTAGGTGTATGATGTTCCCGTTTCTTTCCTGCGAAACGAAAGGGTCATTCACTATCGAGAAGTTGCATTACCGCAAACCGAGTGTTCCATCTATCCTTTTTATTTTCGAGCATCTGTTCATGTGCATGAAGAAGTTTCGTGCAGTATTTTTATTGAATCGTTTAACACTATATTACAGAGCAATTTTAATAAAATATGATTATCTCATCAACAATGGTAACAAGTGACGTTGTTCGAGTAACGTCGATGATTAGTTATTCGCATTAATTTGCATGGTAATGCTCATCATTGGGTAAACAACAAACGACAGTGTGTGAGAGAATGATTTCGTCTGCAGTTTAACACTACTGTTGTATATACAAGATTACAGGAAACAGTATCAAGCGGTGGCATTTTAAAATTTCGAATGTTAGGGGTGAACATAATCGAGATTGGTTACAACTTATTATTGAGTCGATTGTTGTAATTTTTACCGTTTCTGAAAACAACAATCGAAAACAATACGAAACGTTCATTTCCAATGGCTCGAAAGGCTTACTATCCCCACTGAAAACTCCCTCCGCTACAAAGTGGTTCACAATCGGTTACGTCGGTTTTTCGATGCATAAAAGCGAGACACTGGATTCGCAACACCTTCTTTTTAACTTCTAGCAAAATTTGGGTCATTTCAGTACAATTATTTCCGTTTTGTTGGTTGAGATCGTTCTGAGAAAATTGTTTGCATGTTCATTTCGATTCTCGTCTCTGCAAACATTAGTGAATGATTGCTTATCATAGTCAATTAGGAGTCGTTTCATTCGCACGGCTAGTTTAAGCAATAACTTTTTCAAAAAAACTAATTTCTAATGTTTTCTTTGCTGACCAACTGCACCTCTTGTATGCTTCTTGAACACGAGACGTCAATATTTGCTTTTTTATATTTGCTTAGTGAATTATTCATCAACTGTCCTCGAATACAAGAACTCGAACATAGATAAAATGGTGGTATTAAGCACCATCAGTTAGACGTTATTATCCGTTTCGAATTCATTGTGCTAGACGGAATATTTCAGTTTATCTTATTTCAGTTCGATTTAATGCACTTTTAGTGACGACGAATTCAAGATGAAATTTGAATAAAAAACGTTTCTTTGGATAAATGAAATCGTTATCTTACTAGACATGCTTAGCACGTTGAGACGCTGACTGCAATAATTTTTGTGATTGATCATCCATGAATGTTAGAAATATACTTAATTCTTGATGATTTCTAAATGACACGACACTTTCATAAACATTCATTCATGAAATGATTTTCTGTTATCATCATATGACGATATCAAATTATGAACTTTATTGAAACGTCATTCTATTTTATGATGACGTATACGTATTGCATTCGAGCGTATATGGGTGTATTTGTTTGTGTGGGAGATGGGTGGATAGATGGACGGACGGTTTGTTATTGAGCATACACACAAATTTATGTATAACGAATTTCATATCGCTCTTTCAACCTCATTTGAGAATCGCTCTGTTTTTGAAGCGCAACAGCTGTTCATATTTACTATGGAATGATTTACACATACGGCTTCCTATGCCATGAATATCGCAGCTATTATCTGAAGTGATAATTTTATTTCATTGTAGTTAATGATTTGATCGTTTTCGATTGCATCAGGTGTTTATGTGAATTTTTATCATTCCTTAACGTGTCATTGTTATTTCCTCTTAATGTTATCATCGTGTGTTCATGTTATTGTTCTTAATTGTCTACCGATGGTATTTGATCCGTTGACAAAATTAATCGATCAACGGTTAGTTTATTGGGCATGCATCATTTTATATCATCGTGAATGAAATCGAAATTAATATGCTGATCAATCTTGTCATTCATTATTTTATTATTACTATGAATATGATTATTGTCCTCATTATCGGATTGTTACTGTTTAACATTGTTACTCTTCTCGTAACATGCATGATTATTTGTTGAATTAGCAGTATCGGAATGATAGGTTGTGTACATGACAAGCGAATAAGTGATATATATCTGCGGACATTACTTAGCATTTATCGATTGAATTTAACTTCATTCGAAGACGTAATTGTTTGCTGACGTATAGGAAACAACGTGATTTGTTGTTATACTTGTGAATAATGATTGCTAAAAGTAACAAATTCACAGCTGAAGTACCATCGGATAACACCAGTTCAACAACCTGACTAGTCCACGTTGGTATCATGTTGATTCGCTGTCTAAAAAATCGTACTGAATGTGGAGCTAAATGGAAATCGTTTTTGCCATTATCAGTTTTATCAAAGCAACAGTTTATTCTGTTATTCATCGCCTTTCTTGTTTCTTCTTGTATTTTGCCAATCAACGCACAATTTCAACCCAATCAAGAATGTTTATGCAAGACGGGCGAAGGTGTCGATTATTGTCGGTTAGTATTTTTTAAATTCATCATTTAACTCACTCATTTCGTTCCTTTATGTTGTCCACTTCCACAGGCACTATTGACTAACACTGATGTATAATCAATTGAACGTTCTGAGCAATTTGAAAGTTATGTAGTGCTCAAATAATCCCAAAAAAACAATGTTAGAGATAATGCAGTAAAATTGATTAAGCTCACAAATACCATATAATGATGCAACGATTGAAACACTTAATGTGACAGTATTATTTGGAATAAATAGATAGCGATCAGGAAACCACTAAAATGAAGATAAATTAAAACAAAACATGAAAGAAGTGGAGTTAAATTAAGTTGGAATCAAATTATTAAAGAAGCAGATGCAAATTATTATCGAATTGATTGTTGAATTATTATTTTAATGTGGTAATGATTATTTGGATACGGTATGATATATTTCACTGAATATGGTGATCGATTAAGCACTTATTTTTATTTAACTTTCAGTTATTCATTTAAAGTTTTTGAAGTGATTCTTGAATTGTTATTTAATTGAACTCATTATTACAAATAGTTATCAGATTCGTTGATTTTCATCGAGAGTTATACCATGCTGCTCGCTGAAATTGCTATTATTATCTGTTGTTTTTTATTTTTATCATTAAGGTTTTATTATTATCATCATTATAAATATTGTTATTTCTCTCAGAGTGTTCTTTTCAGTGTTAATGTTAATGTTAAATATTTTGTTCCTAACTGAATGATAAATTGCAGATGTGATGGTTCAAGTATCGATGAATTCAACAACCGAAAAGTCTATCCTTTATTGCAAAAGCTCTTGAAAAAAGATTTTTTCCGATTTTACAAGGTGTGAATTATTTTCTTTTGATTCGTAACTGATTATTGCATTTTGCATGGATTGTTGATATGCTATTAGATGAAGTGATGAAGATGATATTCAAAGTCGCGAATTGATTATTCAGGTGAACATGGAGAAGAAGTGTCCATTTTGGGTGGATGAACGTGAATGTGCATCAAAAGAATGTGGTATTGGCTATTGTGATGATGAAGTACCATTAGCTTTAAAACAGCCAGCGAGTATCTCCGTGGTTCGTTTATCATCCACTACCAATAATAAGACGTCGACTAAGACTTTTGATAATCAGCAGATTCAAACCAAATGTGATGAGTCGGGTAATAAATTCGATCCACTGGATATGACATTATCCGAGGATGATAAACAACAACTTAATCATATGGATTTACATGATGACAACGAAAATAAATTCTGCGATTTTGAAGGTTTTCGTTCTATTCATCTCATTCTTTCTTTGCGGTTCCATTTTTATTCAGTACATTCGACTTTCGATCAGTCATTCGATTAAATTTAAAGTCGTTATAGAAATAAGCTTAAATCATTGCTGAAATCCGCCTCATGACAATAATTAGAATTCTATCTGTTAACTAGTTCATTCATATTATTAGGCTATATTCGTAATGTTAATAAGATTGATCAGAATTAGTTTGATGATGTTGATGAATAATTATTTCAGATGAGGATTCAGAAGTTATGCATTATGTTGATCTGTTACGTAATCCGGAGCGGTATACTGGTTACAAAGGGAATAGTGCACAAAAAGTATGGCAGTGCATCTATCTAGAGAATTGTTTCAAGTAACTCTCAAATTCATTCATCTTGTACTTATTGATTTACCATATAGATTAGCTGATCACATCGTAAATTTTTAATAAACCACTTCAGTAATCCATTTCAAAATATTCATTATTCAAAGCAGATAAATCTGCATGAATTTTACAGATGACTCTTTGTTGTTGTTATTACCATTGATTGTAATAGTGCTCTCATTATTGATATAGATAATAATAATAATAATTGTAACAATAATAATAATAATTGTAATAATAACGGTGATTTATTATTATTACTATTATCCTTATCAGAATTCATGACTAAGATTCATAATGAATTCGTCATCTTTATGATAATAACTGTTATTGTTAACAGCGTTTATATTTTAACTTTGCTTTTTCGCTCGTAGAGTTGTTCGTTTTATTGAATTATTAAATCTTTCAGGCCCAATATGAAGTTTGACAAGAACTTTCTTATTCATCCGAATTCCATTGGTTAGTTATGATTACTGATTTCGTTTTCAATTCTCTTTGTGATCCTGTTACTGAGTTATATCAAAAGAAAGTTTTGAGCTTCTAATGATAATTTTAAGTTTTCCTTTCGAATGTGGGTAAACCAGATGCCATCATCAATGTTCTTTGAAATACGTAGAGTAATCAGAACACATGTTCCAAGTGCTCTTTTGTTAATTGGTCGAAGTGATGAGATAAACAGAAATATATTTGACGATGCTTTGAATGTAGTTATTTCATAACAACTGATTAATTGTTGTCAAGACGAAAGAAAAAAGGACTAATTTCTGAAATATAATCATCAATTAATTCATTGTATCATAACTATAATGACTAATATTCATACTTTCAATCTCAGATGGTGAGTACTGATCATTTTTGTTTTGTGGAACCTATCAGCAAATGGTTGGGGAATGAGATATTAAAATTCTCTTTCTTAATAGAGATATTGGGATAAATCACATTTTATAAATTTCTTTTTCATTTCTACCCAGTTCAGTATTTTTCTTTGAATTTTTTCTCAAATTTCGTAATTTACTTTCCTGTCTAACGCATTATTCGGTATATGGTTTTATCGCTTAACTTTTTGGGCAAATCTTTTCCTTAAAAATTTTTTATCGTTAAGCAGCGAGGTGGCTTAAATTTATGAAATTGTTTCATTTCATTCAAAAACTTGAAAATCAAACATACTTTTTGATTTCTTCTTTTGTTCTCTTCAGACGAATGCTAGGAAATATAAGTTGATTAAGTAATGTATTAGTTTAATACTTGGATTGATGAGTCACCTATTTAGATACTCTAAGAATGAGTGTTTGTGTATAGCATGAAATGAAGCATGAAAAAGCAAGAAATTATAACGATATGGTTTGATGGAAATTTTGATTGAGTTTGTTCCCAGAATTAGAACTTGTTTGCTTATTCGTAATTCATTTTTCTATTTCATCTCCCTCTCTCCTTTTTTGATTCTGCAGTGATTTGATGTTCCTCTAAAACGCATTATGATGTATTCAGGATTATGTCTGGAAAAGCGCGTCTTCTATTGGTTAATTTCTGGTCTCCATTCAGCAATTACAATTTCGATTGCTTCAAATAATTTCAAACCAGGTATTAGTACGGAAAAGTGATAATTTTACTCCCGTTTCGTCGTAGCAGTAATGATAAAATAAATAGTGAAGTATGCATTTTTTTCTGTGTGAAGTGATGTTTTCGAAAGTTTGATTTTTATCAACATTTAAAAACGATTGATTGGTAACTGATATATTTAAGCACCATTTGGTCGAGTGGGTGAAGGTGAATGGTTCAGAAATGTGAAAATGTTCAGTGATCGTTTCGGTACGAAATGGACATCTGAAGGGCCGCAACGTCTCAAGAACGTTTACTTTGTTTATTTACTTGAATTGAGAGCATTGGTTAAAGTGACACCTTATCTGCTCAATGAATTATTTTATACCGGTGTTGAAGAGGTGTGTTTGTTTCTATTATGATATTTTTGCATTTTAATGAAATTCATTGGGTACATCTTTAGTTTAGGGGCTACACCGAGCAAATAGAGGTGAGCCGAAGCCCACCTCATCGCCGGGTGGGCGTGCCTACTACGCTGAGAAATGTGTCTATTTGCGCGTGTGAAGCCCCTAAACTAAAGAACTGCCATTCATTGTGCTAATAATTGAAATGATGCTTATAACAGCAATAATACTAGTGGTTGGTGCATAAACACTGTTTAAGTATGACCGCAATGAAAATGTTTGAATAAGCACAATAAATGTTTCAGGTTGATTCAGACACGAGGGCAACCATTCAGGAATTGATGAAAACTCTCAAGGAGTTCCCTCATCCGTTCGATGAAACCGAAATGTTTACTGTATGTTTGTCTCATTTTTTGAATCGCTTCAAGTAAATGATTGAATTTTAACGATTGCCATACTTTTAGGGTGTTGAAGCACAAGCTCGTGAATTGCGTGAAGAATTTCGATTGCACTTTCACAACATCTCACGCATTATGGACTGCGTTGGTTGTGATAAGTGCCGTTTGTGGGGTAAGTTGCAAGTTCAAGGAATGGGCACTGCATTAAAGATTCTATTCTCTGATCTACCAACGTCACATTTTCTTTCACCGGACGGTGTAGTACGTGCTCCTTTCCAATTGACTAGGTTAGTCTTTATCAAATCCACTTGATTTGCTTATTATTATTATTATTATCACTATTACTATCCATGTTTTGTATAATGATCGATTTTTGGGATTCGTTTACCTCAGTTCCAAACATATTCAGTATTTATTCTTTACAGTTGTTATTGAATCCTAGAATTTCACGGCTTGTTCAATTTGAAAGTATGATGAAATGCCGTAGGAAGTAAATGATCTTACCTTATCATGAAGCGTTTTTATGTTGAAGTTGGAGGGTTTTTGTTATGATTACTGCTATCAACGCTGTTGATATCACTTTGAAATCATTATTACTTTCATTACTCTTCAATCAATAGTGTTCTTTTTGTTGTTACTGTAGGAACGTAGTAGAAAAAATAACGTTCTTTTAAGAAACGAAGTGGTCTCACTGTTCCAAAGTTTCGGTCGATATGCATCAGGCATTCGAGAAGTAGACGAATTCCGTCGGGTATTAGTCCACTGAGAAATCGTCTTCAGTTGATTCGTCGTGCTTCATTATTTATTATTTTCACGTTTGAAGTTCGAAGGCTGTTTGTTATCATTAACTTCGTTTACGGGCAGCAGCAGTTAAGAGAGAAATGATTTGAATGTTTGCTCTGTTGTTCCGACTGGGAATGTTGACTTGATCACATCAACTAGCCATAACTTTTCGGTATTGAATCCTTGAATTTGTTATGCTCAAGATGGCTTTTTGACATGTTTTCTGTGCACTTTTTGGGAAATGCATTCTTTATTTGTATTGATGCTGACGCTATTGTTTTTTCGTAAACGAATTCAACTAGGTACTCTATTCAGCGTTATCTCAGTTATTCTTGTACCAAATAAATTCGCCAAAACGTTGGAGTTTCAAAGCTCCTCGCAATTCTTGAATATGTTTGCTCGTTCAACAAGTTGTATTACCAAAAAATAACTCATTGTGATATCATTGTCATGTTATGTTTATTTGTGCTAAACTTGTTTATTTAACATTCGATGCTATTATTTGGGTCAGTACAATTTATGTTTTGTTTGAATTTAATCGTTTTCAAAATCATTGTTAGAGTTGTATGAATTGTTGACAGTCTGATTTCTGATGAGTTCAGTCGTTGATAACTGTGTTCGATGCGTTCTAGTTGAGACTATCAACACGTTGCTTTTAGTTGGGCTCATTATGATACTGTTGCAAAGCGAAACTGCTTTCTTTCTACTCTAGAGGATTAGTTAAAGTTCTTTTGTTTTTGTCAATTTAAAAACAAGCAATAAAATTTTCTTTCCAAAACTACAGAACGTATGCATCCTAATGTTTTTCGTATCGTCAAAAAACAATTCGGGATTTAGTGTCGTTTCCCTATCAATATTACAATTCGTTTGTTTCCCTTTCTTATTCTCCAACTTCTGAGCGATGGATGGTATTCTGTTGATATACTTAACAGCTGTGAATATCGAATTATTTAATATGTTCAACCAAGAACTGACTGTTGTTGCTCGGAATATTTTGTCTGATAAGCTGATTAAGTGAAATATTCTTGAAGGTTTCTTCTTAAATTTGAATTCCATTATAGAATATGCTTTGAACATTTACATTGGGTTATTTTTTTGTCTGTATGATTAAAGCGTGGATATTTTGCAATGTTATTTGGGAACAAACAAGTAAAAGTTGCATTGAGTCTGCAATGAAGTATGTATGTCGAGATGAACAAGTTTAGTTCTTGTTCATTACCTTCTTGGTCGTTACGAAAAATCTGTGCAATCAAAGCTTTACTTGATGCTCTTCTCTTTTGTTGGTCGTTGAAATGCTTTCGTTGGTTTTTTCTTCCTCATTGTGGATTTTTTCTTCCTCATTGATGCCTCTGTTGTAATTTTGATTCGTTTTTTTTTGCATATTGTTTCATTTTATTCATCAGTGGGAACGTTCTATTTTCATTGATCCCATTATGAAGTATTGTTTCTTTCTTCTTTTAAAGCAAATAAACATGTTTCTATCTTCATAAAAGTCAACCATAAAATAATTATACATTCCACTGGGGAAAGTGTCGATAGATATCAGATCGATCAGATTGAAACTGAGGTCCTTAAGAAGTACCTCAATCATGCTCTTGCATGATTGAGGTACTTCTTAAGTATCATACAATATTTTGTTATTATGCACAAAATGCAGAACATTCTGAATTGTGGTAAATTAGATAGACATAATTTGCAGTACTTTTCATCTATTTATACGTATGTAAATGGTGTAGAACAGCCACCGGCAAGTAATTTTGGACTTGGGCCGAAATTTTTCTAATCGTAAGCAACCGACTGACGAGCCAAAACATCACATCAAGCAGAATTTCAGTGATATTGTCATTTTCGTGTTTACCTAAAAAAAGAATTCTTTACCAAACTGCACGAATCCGATAACTGCACTATTACTTGCCCACAGTCGTCTATTAGGAAATACCCTATCCCAGTGTTCTCACGCTTGGGTGTTCCATTACCCCATTTCATAATCTGGCAGGCCGCCGTTACCCCCTCCCCTTCTGATACAAGAACTTACTATTTTTACGTACAATGTCAGGAACAAACGGAAAACCGGTGTGGAAATTCTTCAGTGGTGTGAAAGAAATCGATTTTCTGGAACAAAAGTATTTTTAAAACGTTACTTTTTCCAATATGAATCTCGGCAATCAGTCAATCCCCAATGTTGAAGAGAGACGATGTCAGCCAATGTATTGAAGATCATACGAAACATTTGTGACTAAACAGACTTTTGTTCAGACCCGCATGAGCTAATGATACTCAGAAAATAGGAGAAAAAAGAGTGCTACCATGAACTTATCGCATTTACATACCCATGTGAAGAAACACCATCACAATGGTGTTCTATCATAATATAACAACTGCACGGAATATTAATTTCCCGACCCCACCCCATTACCCCCCTCCCCTCTCCACCCGACATCCCCAAATTACCCAAAATGGGTAATTTCATCCCCTATGAGAACCACTGCTCTACGAAGACACAGCGAATCGCGGGCAAATAATGTCGCGAAAATTTTCATTATAATAGCTAAACAATTTAACACCTTTTTTCTTTTCTTTTTTACCCCTTTAAAATCAGATTCTCAATTTCATCTGACGGGCCAGATATTATTGAGGACGGGCCAATTTTGGCTCACAAGCCGGAATTACCGATGGCTGCTGTAGAGGCGTAGAACTTGAATGTCTCACAAATGTGAAGATCTGAAGCACACACACGTTTACGTCAAAGACAGGCTCTCAGATATGTCAAGAAAGCGTTCAATTCCGATTACACTCTCAAACACCATCAACTATTGAATTAGAACGAAAGTCAAGTTGCAAAATACTCCGTCGAATTTCTCAAACGACTTCACAAGTGCAACGAATGCAATGTACTTTCTTCTTAATGAACGTAGCCGGTGAACTGAAGTTAATTTAAGAAATTATGTTCAAGGTATCAATTATTGATTTTATAAACGTTTTGTTGTGGCACACTCTATGAGTGCTTCTAACCTGAAAATCGTGCTTATCAAATCGGGGTTCTCCGTTTAGAAAAGGTATGTCTTCAGATGCTAGCGTGAATTCAGACTCGAAAAGAGATGTGATCGAATGCAAGTTTTGAATTGTGCGTTATTCTTGTCGTGATGTTTTTTTAAAATGAATTTACCTTCACGGAGCAGCATACATTTAATTGTCATTGTTGCCTTATGATATGAGCACTTTTAGCATTCGATATCCAATTTTGTTTGGTGTTTATGCAATGAAGTGCGTTCTAATACAATGAGTCATTTCTAAAAATGTCAATGAAATGTAATATTACAAATGATATGGCACGCTCTATACATCCGCCTCTAAGGAGGGTATCAAGAATATCCAAAGATAATGTCCAGATGCATACGAAGAATGCCTCTAATTATAATTATGACACCTCTCGTCATTTTATGTGGTTTGTTGATCTTATTATCAGTTTTTGCCTTTTGTTGATTCCTGATGCATCGTTTCAGTATCTATTGGTGCTGAAGATTTGTAGAAAAATCACTAGATTTTCACTAACTTTTGTAGAAAAATCACTAGGTTGTTAGTTTCAAGCTCGTTTTCGAATCGTGAGAACCTACTCGCTTTTGGATAATTTCTTTTTGTAATCTATCACGCTCTCGTTAAGAAGCTGGAATTTTCAACAATCGTTCACAAAAAAGACCTTAATTAAGGTATTGTCCAGTCGTGATGAAAAATATCCGAATATAATGCATTTTTTATTCATGAAGCAGTGGTGGTTTCGGTGAGGTGAATATTTCTGATTCGAGCTATTCGAGTTGCTCTGAAGATTCACACAGCTCATTATCACGTGAGCCATCCGACGCATTAAAGACTGATAACGGATTAATGCGACACTCCATGATTACAAGTTTTCATATGGTTGAATTTGCTACTAAACTCGGATATACTGAGCAGCAGCTGGAAATCGTACTGGAGAAGTTGGGACGTAACGCTGGACAAGTATGCACTACTCTTTTTTACTTTCTATGTCGGTATCGAGAAAAACAAACTTTATTTGCTATCATGCAGATTCCGTTTGAATGAATGTCATCATCAGATTAGATGCATGAAACCAGTCTTAATTTCAGGATGAAATTCTTAGTGAACTGATTAAATTGGGAAGAAAATATGATGATGATAATATTAATCTGAAACCTCAAGTATCGACAACGACTACATCTATGTTGAGGAGTATTGTTATCGATGGCTCGAATATTGCTATAACGTAACTTTTATTTCTTGGATTTTTATGGTTCTTTTGTAATTCTTTAAACACTTCGATCTTCCTATACATATCATCGTAACGTGTCAGTTCAAATTCATTATCCACTAATAGCTGCCGAATGATTGCAGCAGAATTTTTCGAATAGTCACTCGCAGTTAGTTTACCACGAAGAGATTAGTGTGAATTCTAGGTTTGCAATTGCAGATTCCAACTTGATTTATTTTACTTAAATCTGATACGCGACTTTAGTATGTGCTAATCACAAAACACTTTGATGTTCTATTTGATTTGATTTGATTTTCAAAGTAGCTCACCAAAGAGTTACGTGACATAAGATTGTGTGTGTAATGATTATAAATCGGTGCTAAGTAATGCTCTCAGTTGGAAACTGTTCACATTTTCCTTCGAAGCCATTTATTTTGTAGGTTCAGAATTTGTTGATTGTAATCATAATCTGTTGGATGCTGTGGTAAAATCTGTTGAGCAGCTTGCAGAAATACATTGATAAATTTTGTAGTCATGGCCGAAAAGAGGTGTTCTCTTGTCTTGGTATTCGAGAGTGTGTTCAATTTTTCAAGGATCGAGGTCATACAGATATCATCGTTTTCGTACCTCAGTTTCGCCGAGAAGCACCTCGATCAGATTGTCCCATTACTGATCAGCATATCCTTTTCGAATTAGACGACGAAAATATTTTGGTATTTTTATTTTATTTTATTTAATCAGCAAATCAAACTCATTACGAGTTTATGCCTCTCTGTTATTACCAATATCACTAATATCACATTCTTCCTTCCTTGGCATTCTTCTTTCCGCGCAGCTAACGATAATAGCGTTTGGAATCATCTGTCTTCATGAAATCCGAACTTGAATTATTGATTTGGCAAACACAGAGGTTTTGGGCTACTCTCCCATATGCCCATTTATTTCTAGGGAGAGGGACTCAGAAGGGAGAGAAGACGAATTAATAAATATTTAATAAATAAATATTTTAGTATATGTGTGTTATTTTTCGTTTCAGAATTCATTTTACTTTTATATGAATTTTTCATCACGGTAACGTTAAGTGGTGTTTATATCAATTTTTAGACAATATCCCGTTTTCAGAAGTGTATCGGTTGCTGAAGAAATACCGTTTTGTAGTTCTCTTCTTAATGTTTTTTGATATGAGTTCAACTTATTTGCAAGGTATGGACACCGTCTCGGCGAATCGGTGGCCGTCGAATAGTTTGTCACGATGATCGTTATATCCTGAAAACAGCTGAGGAAAAGGATGCTGTAATTGTTAGCAATGATGAATATCGCGACCTGATAAAAGAAAGTCCACAGTATCGTAGATTGGTTGAACAAAGATTGCTCATGTATTCATTCGTTGACGGAAGGTATTCATTCGCTCGTAATTATTCATTGTTTGCTTTTATTATTATCATTAGTAATTTTTCATTTTATCTTCAGCAAATATTTTTGGTAAAAATTTTTGAGGTTTATGCCACCGGACGATCCACTTGGACGACACGGGCCAAATTTGACGCAGTTTCTTTGCAGAGGAAACGTGCAACAGCCAACTGCACAACTTTGTCCTTATGCTCGTAAATGTACGTATGGCAATAAGTGCAAGTAGGTTCATAGCATCATCACATGTTCATCCAATAATAAAAAAACAATAATATTTGTGTTCCTTGCTTCAGATACTTTCATCCAGAACGACCAAATGGTGTGCATATCAGCGTGACGGAACGTCTTCTCAAAGGAAAGCAACAACGAAAACAATTTCTTTCAGCGCGTTAGTTTTAATTTAGCCATTGTACAGTGAGTGATGCTATGATTGATTTAGTATAATATCATTATTGGAGTAGACATAATTATAGTAATATTGATGTATTTGTGCCAGATGTATGATAACAACAACGGATATTCAGGGCCGTCGTTACCATGTGACAGCTTGAGGGATCGACCGACGAATCTTCATTCATCGGTTGTTCGAACGCGAAGTTTGAATATACCGTTGCGGGATAATGCTTCGACCACTGCACACAATCGCATCACTGAAATAACAGTTTCTTTTTGCTTGTTCCATTCACTGCAATTCACAGTCATTTTGTTTGCAAATTTCTCAGAATTTTAATTCCTTTTCAGATTGATTCACTCAAACTTACATTATGTTCTACACATGCAGTATTGTTGCGCCGAATGATCATAATTAACCAAATGATCAAATGATCATACTTCTTTTCATAATTAACAGATGTGTAGCTAGCTGAACACTTCGAAAAAGAGTAATCTTCGAGTGGAACTAATTTTCGATGAATATTTTCAGACGACTGCACCGATCACGCCAACAATAGCAGCAAACACAAGAGCAGTAAATGAGATGAGTTTTGGCTTACTAAATGATAGCACATCGATTGTTGCTGTGAATAACCCTCTTATTGATAATGAGTGTGCTATAGCAGCACCACAGCGGTCATCGTCGTGCAATAACTGCACTAAGCAGTGCTCAAAAAAAGAATGCCATCGTCACTGTCGTAATATGTCATCATCAAATAATAATTGCGATCAATCTCTATTGGCACTTTCACTCTCATCATTGCAATTATCAACGAAACTTTGTCCTACTACCCAAACAAATACGAACACAGCAATAAATACAACAATCATATCACCGTTATCTTCTTCAACGAACTGCTCTGAGTCTCTGTTGAGTAGACAATCACCAGGAGAACAATATCTCTTCATTAATAACTACTTCAATCCCACTTCGTCTTCGTGTTGTGTCGTTCAGTCGACTTCCTCGATATTGCCTTCCCAACTTTCGGGCGCTTCATTCGTGAACGGTTGGTTGACTGACTGCATTTGATTTTCTTTCCTAGTTTTTAGCGTCTGTTTGTGATTTATTCCTTCTTGAAAAGTGCAGAATGGTTGTGATGTGATGTGCAATTGTCCTTAGACCGTAATGTTGATTCGAACTGGTATGAGACTATGCTCGCAACACTCTATCGAATGAGACTGGATGATGCGGTGCAGTTTTGTATTTTATGAATGCATCGACTAATTCCTGTGTTGTAGAATTTGAGATGAAGCAATGATAAGTGTATGGCAATAATGCTTCTAAAATATCTATATGTAGGGATTTTTGAAAACATATTTGAGCAGTTCGAAAGGGTTATTGATCGCTCGAGTCATCGACTTTGAAAATTTTCATCGAGTGTCTTTGTTTGCAAATAACAACCGAATTTGTAGATGTGGGTCAACAATTCAAAAATACATCATATTTGTTCGCTCCGTCAACAGCGGTTTGGGGGGAGTCAGAATTACGTGTTGGTCCATTGATTAGGTCAGTGGTTATACACTGTTCAGATTTTACAAATTAATATGAGTAAATTCTCATAAGGTTATGCATTTCATTTACAATATCTAAAAGACATAATTGATGAATTTTAAAATGTTTTTTTGTTGCAGATATCAGACCGAACAAACCAGTAATCATCATTGTGCCCAAGATGATCGTGAACGTCTGTGTGATCTTCTGTGTCATCTATTTCCTGAAGCATCCGTACTCGCTGTAATGGAAGCACATCCCAATGAAACAGACCCTCAGATATTATGCGCTCGTATAATCGACTTGCAGAAAGGCTTCAATTTGTGATGGTATTCCTGAATAATTTGGTCTCAACTCCAATAAAATATTAATTAATGGAGATGGATGCATAATGATTTATTTGCATGAAACGCGAACATTTCAAGTTCCTTCAAAAAAGTTAAATGGAAGAATGAGTGGGTAATCGTACCTGTACTTTGCCTTGTTGCTAAGCTTCTGCTTAGAATTGTCATTAGACAGTCTACTCGGTCTTATGATTGTGATTTGAATTTTTGTTGTTGTTGTTGTGATAAGATCAAGTGATTTAATGCCTGTCAATAGTCATTTCTGCGTTTTTGAACATGTCTTTCATATTCTATCATAACATGAATTATCTTGCATTGTGAATTTTATTCAACATTGTTTTGTTGTATCAAAGTACAAATTGCTATTGTTATTAAAAGGTGAGTGAAAATGATAATAAATTTTGAACGTTGTTTCTGATTTGATAATTACTTCAGTATTCATCTAAAGTGTTCGCTGTACTAAGTTCATGAAAATCTTAATAATGTGACATTTAGCGATGTTTGCTGAAAATATGTTCGGTGCCGAAATGGCGCACGGTTCTCATCCGGTGTGTACATCGGAAGAAAACAATCACCAGTTTGATTGGTCAACTTATTTGAATAGTTGACGTTGACCAGTGTATGTGTCGGTCAATCGCTCTAATGGGCTAAAAACACGGTTAAATCGTCCACATTTTCCAAGAACAGCAAAATTAAATGATCACTTCGAAGACAAACTGCGAGATATTGCAGTGGTAATTTTCAGAAGTTTATTTTGGAGCAGAATCGCTTCTTGCAGATGTTCTAGTCGTGACACTACAACGTATTCAAACGTTCATAGAAGTCAACTGATTGCTTGTGACTCGTACGAGTTGAATTGTATGATGGCTAGTCTTTTACGTACTAGATATTGGTTGTTGCTGAAACAAGACTTGAATGTTGCAAGCAGCCCTCGTCAGTGTGTTACTCGCTCAGCTGAAAGCGCGTCATCGATATCGGCCGGTTCAGTCACTTCTAGCGATACTCCCATTAAAAATGTCTCAAGGTTCGTGCAGCATGCGTCATTAAAAGTCGCTGTAATGTTTTTATCATGCCAAGCGTTGAATTCTGTAAATACTTATTTCATGTTAAAATCTATTCATGATTACTTTTTTATCCGCAAACTTTGTTTTTCATTTCTTCTATGTCCGTTCGTTCTTTGTCTTTGTATTCTTTTTTTACGCGTTTATTTTGAATCAGCCAAGAAGTGCGTTGATTACACTATCTGAAGTGAGCCTTTCGTTGAAATTTTAGACTCAAGTCACGCCATTTGGACTTAGCCGAGGGTAATTTACCAACAGTGTCATATGAATGGGAACGGGAACTTTGGGCTAAAAGAGAACGATTCGGTCGCTATGGACTTGCGAGTGGTGTTGATGTTGCAGAGCTTTGGCCAACAGTTCAAGTATTACATTTTTTAAAGAAACATCTTCAAAAGGAGCTGAATTATTTGGTGGCTCGATCCAAAAACGTTTTGATATGAATAGCAGTGAGATTTGCGTTTTGGTGAAATTGTTTGTTAGGATTCGATTGTTGTTGAAGAAATAATGGCAAAAGTATTCGTTTTGAGGAAATTGAAGAAGAAAATGAACTGGGATTGTACGTACACTATGGTGATGCTTTGCGAAGTGCACAAATGGCCAAACAGAACGCTGAGGCTGCAATGAATGCCAGGTGCTGTTTGCTTTGTGCATATTTATTTACACAGAGAAGATTAAAATATTTTTGAGATATTCATCGAAAGTGTCGTTTCTTAGAGGTGAAAAAAAGAACATATTAAATGAAACCGTCGCTGAATATCAAGAAAAAGAAACGTAATTACGTTAAAATGTTTTTAAGGCTTGAAAAATTGGCTAAAAATGAAGCGAACTATGGAAAAGTTCTGGCGAAGTTCGAAGCATCGATTGTGAAAGCTAAAAAAGAGAAAAGTGACCAAGAAAAAAAATTGGAACAGCGCATTCGTGAAATTCAAGAGCACTTCGGCTATTGGATTGATCCAAAGGATCCGCGGTTCGAAGTTATGCTGGCGCAAAAAGAAGCTGAAGAGAAGAAGGTTAGTTGTTTGAATATTTACAGATATAATGTGGTGGTATCCATTAATTGTAATAATGGCTGTTCTATGGCTGATTACAATAATAGTAGTAAGTGTCATAGTCAGTTCGAATTCATACATTCGTTTAACATTTTTCTTGATTCACACAATTTTAGGCAAAGAAATTGGCCCGCCGGCGAGCTACTGAACAGAAGACTATTGCTTCAGTAGTTGATGGCAGCAATAAGTAAAGTTATATGGTTGCTATCAGAGTTGACTATTTCAAAGTGATTATTGTGTAATGCAAAGAACTGCTTGTTGTCACTGTCGTTAGTCTCGAATAATTCAACTATGGCCTTGTTCGTGAGCTGCGATTTTTTAATGCTACATTTCCGCACCGTTTATTTGCACCCAAACTTAGCTAAAAACACTTCTAAGTATCTGCACGCGGTTCTCTTCGTTACCCTTTTATCATGACTAAATCGTTGTGACTTATTGTTATCAATATTGTAATTGAGTTTCATGTTGAATTATTGTAATTGTAATATTATGATTTATTATTATTGGGTAGTAATAGTAGCAGTAGTAGTAGTAGTACGTAGGTGTTCATTAATGTACACATTCTGCAAAAGAATTGAAGGATGTCGATTTGATTGTTATTATTATTGTTGCGTTTATTGCTATTTTTATCACTGAGCATTGTTTAATGCAAGAAATGTGAACATAGAACTCTATTAAAGTGCTTGTAATAAACGTAATGATGAATAGAATATTGACTGGATGGTTATGGTCTTATGTGATTCTTTCATTGAGTTATTTTCTCGTAACTGAATATATCAATTAATCAGATTATCAGTCATTTATTAGCGTTGCTTATCATTAGGAGAAATAGTCTGAAATCATTTCCGAATAAATTTATACATTTCAGTTTTTTAAGGGTGGTGTTTGATCCACGTGATATTGGATTTATTGAATGCATGAGTGTTGTTTGGAACAGAAACGAAACATGATCGTTTCTGAGTCTATTCAACCACTTAATCATTCCATTGAAGAGGTACTTTTGATGATTACTTTCCACATTTATTCACATGTTTCAAACTGATATTTTTGTATTATATTAATTACGAACTGTAAATGTAGAAAGGACTGCAGAATTAGGTGATTGGATTTGATATTCGCCATATGTTATTTAGCATTATCCAATGTGGAAGTTGGTGAATGTCGAATTGCGACAAAGTAGATGGTTTTGTATTTATGATGAGACTACAATGCTTAGCAATTTTTGTATGGAAATTGAGAAGGGTAATTGGATGAAGTGCTGCTTAAAGGGGAGTGAAATTCGACATCGAGCACTGAACAATGGAACCAGTGAGCTGTTGTCGATTCGCGATGATACTACAGTTGAGGTTGTCGCTCTGCCTGGAAATATCTTGCAGTTCTCAATAACAACAAGCTTTCAATTGATCGATGTAAGTATGTTGGTCTGTTATATTTCCGAATCAAATTTTGATACATTTTAGAATCAAATTTGAGATAACATATGAATTTTGTAATATAGTTTTTGAAAGTTGATCCATGAATGTTTATGCATAGTTGGAATGTTACTTTTGCGAACACCATAATTGCACATTCATTTTGAAGGCGTTCTGGTGCGATTTTCCAATTGGTAATCCGGCCGCAATGAATGATGATCATTATGGTAATTGCATATGCGTAATTGGTAAACAAAATATTCAGTTTTGTCCTCGAGAAGGTAGTCAAGTCTATGCCGTCACGTTGCCGTTTCCGGTGAATTTGCCATTCTCTTAAAGCTATTGTTTGATGATGAAATTACCTGTTTGATTATCATCAACATATTTGTTAATTTTATTGCAGATATCCAAAGTTTTACCGTCACCATTTGGATTGATTTTGAAGAAGGATTGTGTTGTCATGAAATCAAGGTTCACTCTGATTCATTTCATTCTTTAATTTAAGAGTATCAATAAATATTCATTTGAGAAAATGTAAATTTTTGATGTTTTTAGCACAGATGTCACATTCCCTCATTTATTCTCCCTATCGCATCCATACAACGAAATTCTGCCTATCGTTTGTCAGAACAAAGGTGATTCATTATAACTTATTGTCGTTACCATCATCGTTAGTTTCATTCATCTTCATCAAGTTTTGCATCGAGTTTACATGCAGAAATCAGAAACAGAAACTTATTTTATAACTTATGATCAGAAACAGAAATTTATTGTAACATCGTTTCATATTAAGTTTTCATCATCCTTTCAACAGAAATCCGTTCGCAATTGACTGTACTTGCATTGTTGTACCTATTGTTACCTGTTTTATAATGATTATAGAGCACAAATGGAAATGAAGTAATTTTTAGAACAGTCTTATGTTCACTTTGCTTCGGTCTCTGTTTTTTTATATTTTACATTACTTAATGCCTTATGTTGATTACTTTATTCAGGTAAAAGTAAAGATTAGTTCAATTGCTGAATGTTTTAGATGATAAACAGTCATGTCATTATGCGCTCGATCCGCTTGAATTGACCGCTGTGTGTGTGTTGGAAGGGAGTTCATTGCTGTTGTGTTACAATCAACGACATCATTCACATTCATTGCATTTGATGCGTAGTGTCACCAAAGAAGAATGGAAGTGTGCTGCAGCTAAAGTTGAAACCATCGTTTCAGCCAGTTTCAAGGGCACACCTTTTGGTTCGTCTGTTTATTCGCTGGGTTTTTTTTGCTTTATGCGCACTATTTAATACTCCCTTCAGAACTGAGTAGCGCTGGACCATCTCCTGCATGTTCATCGTATATACCAACACCAAGGAATCGTCCACGAGTTGGTGAGCATTCTGAATTGTCATTGAAAACATCCTCTCAATAGTCAAGATCAGTCTTCGTCCAATAATGAAAATTAAAATTGAAATTTCAAGATTGGCAAGAGCCAGCACATGTGGTGTGCACCCGTTCAATGACTGCCGCAGCTGCGTTCATGCAGTCTTCTCCATTCACACCAACGAGTGCTCGTTTTGCTCATAGGTTGTGTTTGACTGATGATTATTGCCTGAGCAGTTAAATGATCTTTGCCATTCTCTTATTACATATTCCAATCTGAATCAGAAATTATTTTTGCGCTCATTAACAACTAAAATTTAATGGCATTCTAGTTTCTAAAAGTGATTTCATTCGTACGTTTAAGAATTCGGTCTGAAGTTTTATCAAATTAGTTGACGTGTTCGTGAACCGCAAGAGATTTATTCAGTACTTGATGATTGCTTGACTGCTTTATTCTTCTAATCGATTGATATAATTAAAAAGAGTATTTTTTCGTCGAGTGCTTCGTATTTTTAGTCGTTTCATCTTTCTTCTTTTTTTTCAGTCGTTCTGCTTACTCAAGGAGTGGATCAGGTGAGGAATCGGTTGATACGTTTCATTTTGATACTTTTGAAATGTTTTATTAGGTGATTTTTGCTTGGTTTGGAAAAGAATCAAAATTCAGATTCATTTTTTCGATGAATCGAAAAAACACTACAATTTTTCTTTCAATTTTCGAAAATTTTCGGAATGGTGTAATAAATAATTCACGGTTCCTTTATCTTTAGCACTACAAAAAGGGGTTAAGGACAAAAAAGCTGTTGATGTAGTTATGCATTCATTGATTATTGTTATAGGTCTGATCACAAGTGCTTTAGACGGTGAACTAGTTTTGTCGCTTTTCAATATTATTATTGTTTGAAAACTAATAACCTATATAGTGATGATAACTGTTATTAATATGGTTGCAGCTATTATTATATTTTGCTCATCGCTTTTGAATTTAGTATATGATACATCATCTCGACTCGCGTCGTTATACGAAGATCGTGGCATTGCATCAGCAATTGATATGCGCGGCTCCGAATTAGAACTTATTGCTCCTGAGGTGAGGGTGTTGTTGCTTATTGAACTTATTAATGTAATCGTCTTCTGTTTTATTTTATTGCACGTTCCATCTAAGCATTTCGTCCATTAAATTAATTTTTGTTGTCTCCATTCAATTGGTAAAACTATTTCAGATTTGCATAGAAAACATATGGACTGAGCCACATCGTCGTCAGTCTGAAGATATGCCATGCAAGGAACCAGCAACGTTATCATTTCTCACTACAGGTTTTTATTGTGACAGAATTTATGGAAGAATTCTTCTGTTAGCGGACAATTTGCCATCCATTTCTATTTCCTATTTTCGAATTATTTTGTTGTCTACGTAATGTACACACAACCATCGAGTATTATATATTTGCTTAGAAAATGTTCATAATTACCCTTTCAAATGGATTTTAAGTGATTTCAAATTGCAGATTTAAGTGGTCAAAAATTTGCATGTATTTATTCGAGTGAGCATGAAACACTGAAATGTATACGTATAATATTGCACGATGATGGTTCATTAACAACCACTCGAGGCTTTACAGCGATTAAATGTCTCTCGGCAACTGACATTAAGGTGTCACATTTTTGTGCACTTTTACGTTATCTGCTCAATTTATTTCATAACTTTATTGCTTATGTGTTTCATTTATCGTTCATGTTTTATCGACTGTTCATCATGATTCATCGTTTAAAATCTGCCCAAAGTGCTTCTTTTAGTTCACATCAAATCTTCATTATTCTCTTTATTGAATCTGCCTTTTATTATTGATTCAGTTGAATGCTAATTAATTAATTGAATAATTGATGTGAATGTCAGTGTGTATCTTCCACAATATTAAAGACTTAATTCGGATTGAAGGATCGTAACATGATGGCTGTTATTGAAATGGATCACAGTGTAGTGCTCTATTCGGGCACGTTTCGATTGGGCTCACTGTACGTGCAACGAGAACGTTCTCAGTTATTATCCACAACACGCTCCCCATCCAATCAGGTTTATTTATTAGTCATTTCTGTTACCATTCTTATTGTCATTCTCAGTATTTGAATATTTCGATTGCAGTCATCTTATGGTATAACGCAATGCGCTCCTGTTTGTGCTGTCCATTCATTTTGCAGTGGACATTTCTTAGTGGTTGGTTATCTTTTGAAATATAAGTTTGCCATTTGATTTCATTCCATTTGTAATTAACTGCCTATGCAATTCATTTTTCAGAAGTTTATTTCGTAATTGTTCAATTCCTTTCTTATTTCTTAAACAACATTCATTCATGATTGTTATTTAATTATTTTATAATTGTTTCATTGAATTGATTACTTCATTGAATACACATTAACCTTTCCTAATTCTTTTTTAGAGATCATTAAATTGTCAATATTCTGTATGCAAATTACCACCTTTAACATCGTCTAATTTCGGTTATTTTTTACAGTAATTCTTTGTTTTTGGTTATGATTTTTTATAATCAAATTAGGATTCTTTCTCTGTAAACAGCTTTAACATAAGCAGAAAGTACCGCTTTTTGGAGGTATTTTCTTATGTAAAATGAAATATTGCAGAAAGATGTCGGGATTTTCAAAAATATATGTGTTGTTGCTTTTTTTTTCTCAATGAAAGTTGACACAGTTACATGAATTTGCTTAATCCAGCAATAATTTAAGTGGAAGAATGTTTGAATTATGTGTGTACAGTACTGCCCAATGATAAAGCCTTAAAGCTAGCCGCATCATGGGTGTCTGAAAATAATTGGCATTTACTGAACAACTGTGACGTCACAAATCGATTATCATTAGAATTGGCCTTATTTATACAGTTCATCTTTTGCAAATGTGGAATTATCATTCATGATTTTCCATATTTCAAAGAGGTTAAGAGATGTATTTCTCTTTTTACATTCATCTTTCATTATTTCTTTTTCATTATTCACTTCGTAACTCCGAGTCGCTCGTACTTTTAATTCGGTTGACAGCGGTTGTATCGTCTGAAAAATAATGTGTTGTGGAATTTAATGTTTTCCTCCGTTAAACGCTTTAAGTTAGTGCACTCAAGTGAGATTTATTATTAGTTTCGAATGCATGCAATTTTCTGAATATCGAACAGTTGCATAAAATCTCATAATGATTGTTTGCCAGATTGAAAAACTGAAGGTGCAGTGCGCATCGGGTGCTGGAGATGCCAAAAAGATACGATTGATTGCGATGGATCGATCCTTGGTAAAATGTTGTTTATTGTGGTCAATTTAGTTCTGGATTTCAAGTTTCACATCGTTGAACTGGAACATTGATATGTTTATATAGATTGAATTCATTCATTTTTGATCAGATTCAGATATGGGAACACGTGCTCTCTAGAGAATGCAGTAGTGGTGCTGGAAATGAGGTTTTATGTAAAAGTGATGCTGCAGTGGAAGGGAGTGATTTGACGAAATATACACGCAAACCATGCAAATATCAGTTGATCATATCGGAAGATGCCGAACTCTATGAATACATAAGATTCGTGCTATCTGCACTACATAATGGCTATGAACAAACAAAAATGGACACTCGACTCGCCTTTTTGTCACCGCTGCTTGCGACGTCTTTGCAAGCTATCGCAACGTTAGTCTCACTGGGTTTTTTGCGAGTAATATCTATTATCTAAAAAGTATTTTGTAGGAATATTTTGATTAAGATTCATTTACTTGTCATATTTGGTTTGATGAACTTCTAATCAATTCAAACAAAAATTGTTTATATCTTCAGTTTGTTTTATTGATTCAGTCTTTTTTGTTTCATTCACTTTATGCAGTATTTCATCACTGAAATTTTACGTGAAACCTAGCGCTATATGCGTCTATTCATTAAATAAACTTGCCTTAATTATCTTCACTCGTTGCAGTATATTGCAATTAGATAATTATATTGACTATTATCAAAGAGATTTCCCGGATTTGGCGAACAATATTTATTGCTTGGAGAATGGTGGAGGTAAGCTTGTTTACTATTTATTTCAATTTTTTTAAACTTCGTACTTATTTCGAACTACATCACTCAGACCTCATTTCTCTATAAAATATGATTTATTGAAGATCTGAACAAATTGGATCTGAGCCGTATGCGTCGCTTCTCTGATCGGCTTATATCATTTCATCGAACTCTGTTGCGTATTGTTGAGGATAACTCTAAAATCACTTCGTTTTCATGTCCGACTAAGGGTTCACAAGTTTTTCTTCTCATCGCTATTGGTTTCGGTAAAATTGAGAATATTCTTGATTTGCAGGTATTATTACTATTATTGTTACGGTCATTGTTTTGTGTCTATTTATTTGTTTATTCTGTCGGGTTGTTTTAATTTGCTCATCTCCAAATATGCTGTTATTGTTACTGATCACTGATGAAAGAATGTATTACTACCAAAAGATTCAGGCGACATGATTTGAAAATACGTGACGTTTAAGCATTTGTGATATGTGACCGGCTCTCTTATAAGGTAGAACAAATTTTTGCATTATTTTTTGCAGAAAGCAATTGGAAAGAATTGGGAGAAGAAATTGGGATTATCTGAACGTGAGACTGCATCAGTGATTGAGATATTGGATAATGATCGATTGAGCGCTGGAGACAAGTTGGATTTTTGTATATTTTTTGAATCATTTATGTATGAAACGAATCAGAAAGTTGTATTGATAATAGCAAAAATACCATTAAGGATAAAACTTTCATTTGCAGATGTAGAAATTGGGCGTGTTTATTCAGTATAAAGGAGCGATTCCTGAAGAACTTACCTCCTTCAACCGCTCTTATCATTTGTGAGTTATTATATAACGAGCGTGTGATGGCACTCAACTTTTTACCGATCCCTTTTCTCAACTCGTTCAGGTTATTTATTTCAAATGATTTCCATCTACTTTTCTGAAATTTATTTGCTCATATTGATCACTTTTGAAGAGCATTGCCATCAGAAGACGAGATCAATCGTACCATCAGATTGCGTTGGAAGTACGATATGAGATTTGCGAATGCATCGCAAATGCTCGATAGTTCACATCCGTCATTTATACCGGCTGTTGTGAGTTGATTCTTTTAACTGGAAAATTAATCCACTATCGTTTCATCTATATGATTAGTTTTTTTATCAGCTTGAAATACGTTTATTTGTTGTGCTTTGTTCTCTGGGAGTTTGAATGGATTGCAAAATACAGAATGGTGTTTCGGATATTGAGCAACGTGAGTTACAAGAGCAAATGCTAGCTATTGTGAATGTTCGCACGTTAACACAATGCTTTGGACGGGCAGTACTCGAGTTTCGTTATTTTGTTCCGCCGATGAACATTCCGCTGAATGTACCTCAACTATGTTTACAAGGTCGTTTTCATCCGTCAAATGTACCATTCGAAATGCAGCAAAATGAAGTGAGTGCGTGAATTATCTCGTCATTTTACCGTTCACTTTGTAATTCACTGTTGGGCGTGTAAGTTTATGAAGAGATGCATTTATTCAAGAGCGAGGATGATGATTCCGCAAAATATTGATAAGGATGCTGAAAAGACTCAAATAAGACTACTGAACAGTTGAATTTCTATCAGACGATATCCGTTCAAATTACTTTGGAAATTCATCTTAAACATGTTTCTGGTAAAACGTCGTAGACCTGTGTGTGAACTGAGAGGTTTCATTTTATGGGGAGTGATATGGATTTCCCCAAAAAAGATTTTGTAAGAGGGGTTTTGTCTAAACAAAGGAGGATTATTCAAGCAACTATCTTCAATTATTGATTATTAGAAGCTGCTCTTAAAAGTTCTTTACAGACGACAAAAATGATGACTGAATGGGGTGCCTACTATAACGGATTGGCGACTGGTTTACGTATTGGTAATGAGCAATCGTGTAAATTAGATGGTGAATGGCTAGCGTTGAGTATCAGTGAACAGGTTTATTCGCTTCTTGTATTATTGACACACCAACTGGTGTATGTTTATTGTTATCGACATCACTGTCGCTGTTCTTGTCGAAGATCTTTCGTTGTTGAGTCTCGAAAATATTATTGCTTTCATGATTGCTTCAGCGTAGACAGGATTTCTCAATAAGGTTGTATTGTTTATGCGTTGAAGTAGGCGGGGATCGAGTTCAACGCAGTGAAGTAGACGAGGGTGGACTTTAACGTGTATATTTTTGGAAAGGTTGGAACGTACTCTAATAGTGAGCACTTATCTACACTACAGACACTCACTGTGATGGATGAAAGATACGAAGTGGGTGTTGTGAAGGGTGCGAGGAAATTTTGACTATTGTTGTAGGGGTGCGAGGACATCTTGAAAATTTTTGGGGGATGTGGAGGGGAAGAAAGAGTGAGAAGCACTGGCGTAGACGGATCCGAAAGTCTTAGCTGAAACGTGAAGTGAGGCTTAAACGTGACAAATGGGAATGTGAATGAGCAATTGATGGTCAGTATGGTATTGCTTGGGATAATAAATATTTGAAGTTTATTGCGTATTTCTTTCGTTTTACAGAAGGACGCAAGCTCAGCCGGTATGATGTACGCGTTTGGCTTGAACGGACATATATCAAAGATGAATCTGTTCACAATTCATGAGCTGTTAAGTGCTGGCGATCGTTTGATGAGTGTTTCAGTGCTACTTGGATGTTCAGCAAATATGCTAGCAACTGGCGATCAGCAAGTGTGTTCATTAATTGATTGAGTTAACTCCATTTAGTTTCTTCTGAACAGCCTCTAAAAGTAAAAAATTATTTTGATGGTGTCTAATCACTTTGATCAAAAAGATTCGCCTCAACTGCTATGGCAAGATAAGTGAATTCTTTTGTTTTCAGATCTATAAAGTTCTCGTAACTCATTTACCGTTCATGATGGGTCCTACTCTTCTAGAACTGCATATTGATCCGATGGTACAAACAGCAGCATTAGTGGGTTTAGGTTTGCTGTTCGCCAAAACTTCACATTTAGGCATTCTGAACTTATTGTTGAATGAAGTTGGTAAGCCAGCGCCGATTGATCAGGAGCCTTGGACTGATCGTTATGCGTATCGACTGGCAGTTGGTTTCGCTATCGGCCTCATTTCTTTAGGTGAGTTTGTTGATTCATCGTCATTCTTTCATGTGTAATGATGTTTGAGGTGGCGCGATCATTCGCGATAGATTGCATGTATGTTTCGTTACTTATGAAGAATCTTGAAAAGATTGAAATTTTTTCTAAAGGAAGAAAATTTACTTTATCTTTTCAGTTAAAGAAACGTTTTTTAGGTGACGGTGAGCAGTTGTCGGCGAACGTACCGTTCGTGGAACGTTACCCATCGCTGCAATCACGTCTTTTGCAAATGATGGATGGCGGTCCTCGTTCTTTATGCGTGTTCCCAACCACAAATCCCACTGACGTTCTCCTAGCAACTCCGCACGTTACAGCAACCACCAACCCAAGCACTACGACTAACACTCATCCAGATCCAATCAACGCAAACACCTCACAAACCTCGAGTCATGTCTTGGAATTTGACAACATTAATCCACACTTATCCAGTGCTGCTGCCACTATTGCGCTTGGACTGATGTATCTGCGAACTGGCAATGAAAAGGTGGCAAAACGGATGCGAGTACCACAAACGTTATCCAAACTCGAAAAAATACGGCCTGATTTCTTATTGTTGAGGACATTGTGTCAGTCGTTAATAATGTGGGATGAAATACTACCATCGAAATCATATGTTGATGAGTTAATTCCTGCAGTAATTCGTAGTTATGTCTATCGATTTTTTCGAAGTGAATTAGTATTGGGTGACGGTGATGCGGCGTATTTGAGTACAATTGTTGACTTGGAAACAATTGCGCAAAGTTATCTGAATATTGTTGCTGGTGCATGCTTTGCGATTGGAATTCGGTATGCGTCATCGTTTAGTTCATCAGCGTTCCAAGCAATCATGTGCTTCATTTGGATGCTTTTACCTGAAGGCAACCAAAAAGATGCGGATATGCGATTATGCCATGCAGCCGGAGCAACTGTTTGCGCATCTGTTTTGAATCAACTCATTTATTCACTTGGCTTGATCATGGCCGGTAGTGGCAATTTGGAAGTGCTTCGTTTGTGTCGAATGCTAAGAAGACGTGTGCTCGCCAATAATGCACACAAAGATATCACTCTGTACAGCACGCAAGTGGCCGTTAGTACCACAGTGGGATTGATTATGATGGGCAAAGGAAGGTCTCCCATTAAATGCTTCATTTAATTTTTGATGAGCATACTTGCAGTTCATTTTATTTTTGAATCACGCTCATAAAAGTGACCATTTGATTTATTGTTCAATCAAATGTTGCACCCACTCTGTCAGTCTTAAGAATTCCATCGTATTTATGTATATTTCAAAATTTATTCATCAATTACTCTGTTCAGATACGCCCTATCACAAAGCGATTTATCGATAGCCGCAATGATAATAGCGTTCTTTCCTGTTGCACCACACAACCTCGGCGATAATAGGTATGAGAAAGCTTATTTCAGTTCTTCTTCATGAGTTCATTTTCTCTCTCTGATTAATTGTTACGGAGTATTGCGAAAATACAACAGCTCAGTCAGATAGTTATTTTCATTCATTCGTCTTTCATGTGATATTTGAACTGATGTTACTCGTGATGTCAACTGGTTGAATGGCTTAACATAAAAAACAGATTCAGCTAGTGAAACTTTTGATTGAAGATTATATCTGCAACCATTACGATTTTTGTGGTCATTGGCGGCAGAAGAACGTCTTATCGATGTTGTTGATGCACACTCAGGTGATGCTCTTAGTGCGACGACCGTCGATGTTTATTACAAGGTTTGTTATCTTTCTTCATTTATTTCGTTGCATGTTTCATCTTTCATTTACCGCTTCTAAATTTCAATTTTCCAGTTATTCATTTCAGCAAGTGGGTGATGATTTCATCGAGCACGTTGATCATTTTCAGTCGCCGGTAATTCTTCCCGAGCTGTCAACTATTGAAAAAGTTTGTTCATTCAAATGTTAATGTTTCAGTTCATGTATTCATTGAATTTAATTTTAGTTATTTTCTTCTTCTTTTACTACTTCAGTTCACGGCTAATTTCTATTTTAATAATATTTTTTGTAATTGCACCAAACCGTTTTTCAATGAGATGCAGGATGTAAAATCATAAATCCCAATCGTTTTTCGGATCAGCGAAATGAATGTCTTTTTTGGTTGGTTGAATAATTTCTCGAAAAGTTGTTCGTTGTCTGCGAAAGTTTTTGATGAGTTGTTAACAGATCGTGCTATCATGTGATGGTTATGAGAGTCGAACGTTAAACTTGAAAGACCCGAAGCACTTTGAATTACTTAAGAACGTGTTGGGAACGGGTCATGGGTCCTTACCACTCACTCGTATTGGAAGGTATGTTTTCGTTGTCATATCTGTTGATGTAAACATGCACATCAAGTCTGAGGAACAGAATGAATTGTTGACCATCAGTTTTTTTCAAATTTCAAATATTTTCACGTCTCCAGGAATTAATCACATTGTTTTCTGCTTTTTATGTTTACCTACTGTAACATATTTATGTTCTTATTCAAAATCCTCACTACTGGAAATACACTTCAACAGAAGCTATCTTTTCGATATACTTGATGCAAATTTTTCCAGCTTCTAGTACTTATCAGATTACACGTAAAAATTAACATTCTCTTGAAAGTCCCATTTGTTTCGATTTTCCACAGTCCAAAATATGCAAATAATTCATTGCATGCATATATTCATGTACTTATTTGTTTGTAAATGTAATTTTAGGATGAGTTGTGAAGAAAAGAACATGGATGGAAGTGTAGATGAAGAGTGTAGTGATGGTTCTGTAATCGCAGAGAATGATTTAAGTGATTTGAGACCGTCAGATGATTCGATTTTATTGACGAAAATTCATGAATCGGTAGAAGTGAATAATGATGAAGATTTTATGGCGGGTATAGAAGCATTACCAACAAGAAATGCTAATGAGGATATGACGAGTGAGAATGATTATAATGATGATAGCTATGCACAACTGGATGAATATGAAGAGCAAGTCAATTCCGAATGGACACCATCATATGCAGATCGCTTAGACAAACAAATCAAACGTTTCAGCGCACTATTCAGCACTGAGGATGCACATCCTTTTCTCAGGCGTTACGTACAAGTTAGTTTGTTTGCTGAATACTCTGTTCACTATTTTGTTGTTGATTTCAGAAAGGTTATTCAGTGAACGACAACTTGTTCGAATTCTTATCAATAGCGGTTATTTGTTTTGCATTATTCATTCTTCAGGATTTGTTGGAAAACGAAAGAACACGATTTCCGCTGATGCAGTTTTCCGAAGTGAAGGCATTTCTTGATAGATGTGAAAGGTATGAGTGTGAACCGAAAGTCATTCCTAAGCATTTGATCAGTTCAGTTAATGATGTATTCCAGTCGCTGAAATAATGAGTTGTCGTTGCATAACTCAACATTTACTCATGCATGATCGCATTGATTTTGTGATTGCTTTCATTTATTATACATTCATTTTGTGACATAGGGAGGGAGTATTCTTTTGTGTCTTGTTGTTAGTTTCATCTGGCCTCGAAATCAGTGACGGTTACCCTTCAAAGTGCTGATCTCTGTGCTATAATAGTGCTACTGTTGTCATTGCTTTTGTTATTGTTGTTGCTACATCACAATTGTAATCATGTTCTCATTCTTGTATCATTGATGTTGTTATTCGAGTTGATCTTCACTTTCCATTTTTCTTGTATCTATAGAATAAATGCGATTATATTCATTTTTTTAAATTGTCACTTCTGAAGAATTTAAATGATTCGTTCTGTTAACTGATCTCTCAAGGGAATGATTTTGCGTGTATATTAAAGGTAATTATTCACCTGTGACTTTGAAATTATTGGATTCCCTTTACATCCCCTTGACAGATCGGATTTAGCTTTAAGTGGATCAATCTCCTTTTCATCCAAAAAAAGCTCAGTCACCAACTCAGTTCTCTGAGAATTTCATGTTTTCTAGCGAAAGTCTGCTTAAAACGGTTTTCCAACCTGATTTGGAAGGGCGTTGGCATTGTCAGTAGCCTTATTTGCCTTTTTTGCGTTTAGCAAATCATGCTCCACCGTGAACAACATTGAGAAATTACGTCTTCATTAACAGATCCACTCCCCTCAAAAACTATTTCTCTGATGTCGTTCGCTGAAGAAGAACGGCATGCATTCCTTCGTTTTATGTTTACGCGTTGGGTTGGTGTTAATTCTTTACATTTCAGTGTCATATGAATTAATTCTCCACAATATTCGAGAGGTTTTCAAATAAAACGATTTCCTTCCTATTCTCAACGATGCCTAAACTATAGCTCACTATTGTTCAGCGGGGTTATCTTTTTGAACAAGAATTTTTTCCACATAACACAAGAAAAAAATATGTTCATGGGAGGGAAAAAACAAAAAGAAAAAAATTAAAAGAATTTAAGTTGTAACAAAAGAATGTTCATTCCGACCCCACATTAAGTTCGATCTTATGCAGTCTTGTATCAGCTCCGCTTGCAAGAATTTCCTTTTGCATTTGTAAATGAAGAGAAAATTTTATTGTCAAGCCGGAGAATATAAAGTCAAAACAAATAAAGGTTGAAGAATTTGAACAATCGTTAAAGCAAAATATTTAGTTTTAATCTGATAGTACACATGAAGGTTTCACATGAACAAGCATTAACTAACCACAAAGTTTCCTAGCAGAAGTGAATCTTCCTCGTTATATGATGAAAATTCTAAAAGAGTTGGCGTGAAGACCAAACTGAGAGAAAAATTACTGTTAAAAGTTAAGGTATCTGAAGATGTGCTGAGTGTCAGGCATTCAAGGATCATAACTGAATGATTATATTTTAAAATGCTGTAATAAACACAAGAATTGTTATTGGAAAATTATTTAGTACTGCATAGTGAACTAGAATTGAGTGTGAATTATGGTAGCTATGAGTTCTACTGATAAATGAGGTATGCTGAAATTGAAATATCATCGTGCGTTCTAAAATCACATTAACTCAAACGAAGATTAAGCCAAACTAGGAGTGAATAGCAAATTCGTCTTCAATGGACAATCGATCATGGTTAACTATGTACCGCAAATATATGAAATGGAAGTTTTTCGAGTACTCTTCACAACGATGATGAAAATATTTTCGAAAATGAAAAGAATCAAACGGAGATCATTCATGAGTACAAACGGTGCAGATCTTTCGGGCGTGTACACCTGAACGATATATCAACATTTATTTTTTGAAAATGCTGCACATGGCACTCATACACACATAAATGCTTTCAGTATCTATTCCAGACACAGTCCAAATTTGCATCTTTACAAGAGATCATTCTAAAGATGCCTAATGAGTTGTTTCTATCATCCGTTATATCACTGGACTAAAAAGATGGATCACCAAATCTGTTGCGACTAGACAATCACAAAAATATCACATCATACAAAATCACGTCACTATAATATAAACCTACACAAATATCACATCATTACAAAAAATCACGTCATTACAACATACAAATACATGCACATAACCGAATACCTTATATCGTTATCTTATCTCAAATCTAACCCCCACAATCTTTCAATAATATTTGTTGAATCTATGTTCAAATTTGCTTACATTCGTAGCAGTCGGTTGTTCGACTGCTACGAATGTAAGCAAATTTGAGCATAGATCCTTTACAAATTATTTCTGTTTTTTACGAGTGCATAATCTACTTCCCATTTCAGTGATGTTAACAGGCATTTGGTTACGATAAGGATCTATTCTTGAGCATTTTAATGATTGTTTAATGGTTTCATCAATGATTTCCGATATTCTTGTTGATCGCATAAACTGTTTTCGTTGATTTTAAATTTTTGAAAAATGGACCACTGATTGATAATTTTACAAAATTGACAGGATAAGTAAAATGAGCCAGTTATAGACAATCTCATTTTCTCAGATCTTTATCAAAATTTTCATTAATTTAGATAAAGTGCTCATTAACTGAATAAATTGAAATGAGGGTCGAAAACGATTCCAATTTGTCTTGAAATTTTCCCAGCACCTCGAACGTTATCATCTGGAGAAAAAGCAAAAAGCAACGAAACAAATGGCTTTTCGAAATCTTAAGACATTGCTCTTCGTTTTGTGGCTACTTTCGTTTCGAACAAGGCTTCAGTTGCTCGCTCTCATCTTTTCTTCTTCTTCACAAGCATACCTCCGTCCGGTGTTACAACAACTGGTCTACTGTGCAATCGTATGCTGGGTGGTCATATTGTGTTGGTCATAACTGTTTTTAATATAGGGTGTTCCAAAAAAATGTATACACTTTTTACCAGCTGATAACTCAATTGTTTGTTTCTTCTTCGCAGATTTACCCATTCAACACCGAATGATGGCAACCAGACTAAACTTTGAAGAAAGGAAATTCATTCTAAAATGCAACATTGAAACACCTCAACATTGTTTCAATGTTGAGGTGTTTCAATGTTGAGGTGTTGAGGTGTTTCAATGTTGAGGTGTTTCAATGTTGAGGTGTTTCAATGTTGAGCTGAAACATGTTGAACATTAAACAAATTATGATAAACACCTAGTTTACAACTATTTAAAGTGTGTATACATTTTTTTTGAGACACTCTGTTTTGTTTTCCATCCATATTCCGAACATAGTGGAGCAGCTAACTCGTTACCAAAGATACATATAGATAACTCCTTCCCTAAGATACTCAGAATCCGCAGTTGTTGAATATAATACATTAGCGACACGTTTCACTGTAGCACACGACCTGTGCGTTCAAATTACTGTTGATCATCTATATGCTGTTTCGACACTGAACCAAGGTTTCAGAACCATTAACACAATTATTCGAATATAAACACAAAGATTTCGTCAATCAAAACCTACAGTTTGCATCTTATTTTGCACTACTGTTGTCAATAACGTTTCCTAGCATTGTTCACCTTATATTCATGAATAATTCTTATTCTGATTCTTATGTACTACACATCAACAATCAAACAATAACTTCTTTTCTATATGCATGGCATATATTTTTCTTTTTTTTGTTGCTACACATCCACCTAAATAGTTCGGACACTGAGCGGTTGGTTTGCCGATTGCTGTGGGCGACCAGCAAAATTTTTATCGTTGTTACGATTAAGGTTTGCACGGGATCCCGGGATTTGAGTTCTGACCCCGATCCCAGGATTTAAGTTTTGAAAAATCTCGGGATCTCGGCGGAGCGAGTCATTTCGTACGATTGTGGCAATAGATTCATTTCGAATCATGCATTAATCATTCAGATGTAGTAACATGATTTGTTGAATAACTTGCTGAGTAATACGAGTATTAATTGTTGCGTCTGTTGATTTGCATGTGGACAGATTGTTGAATACGTTGTATTTGTTGAATAAAGTTTTTTCTGATTAATTATGACCAAATTGGTTCAAAAAAATGTGTTTAAACACGTCACTCATAGATAATTTAGAAGTCGTTCGATCCCGTGAATGAAAGTCGACCCCGGGATTAAATCCTGATCCCGGGATTGAAAAAAACCCTAGTTACGATTATGTACTGGATTGTTATTCGGCTATATTCAATTATTCAAAGTATTTATGGTGACGAGCATGTGCTGATCACTATGGATTTGTTCGGTTACATTAATTAAAATCGTTGATTATTACTGTCCTCAAGAGATTACTGGCTTATTACTGGCAAACAGCTACTCGACGCATATTCAACCGATCGAGTGGAGTGCATTTTCGGGTTCATTTCGAACCCCATCTCTGGAAATCACTGGGCAATATGGGAAAGTATGACCGTATACCTCTATGCTCGCCAAGTCAATAATCGAAGCCGGCAGATGACTCCTTGCTCTAACGGTGGTTAGCTGCACAGAAAGAAGAACTTTGAGGAAGGGAGAACGTGACATTCGTAATAACAGAGAGTCATGAGTTGTAACTGCAGACTAAATAAATTATTACACGGAGTATTATTTTTCAGAACAAAAATGCATGTACTTCATAAGGATTTTCTCAAGAACTAAAAACCGACGATAAGAGCAGCTATAATGAAATGATGATTGTTACCAACGAGATCATCATGGTTGTCATGCCGTACGACTGTAACTATGAATGCTTCGGCTGTCGAAAACCGATGCTTTTTGAATATTCCAAATAGTTACTACAAAAAAAACTGTTTTATTGCTAGTCGAAAAATCGAAATCCAAGCCATCAACTACTATGCACGGTTATTACTATTGGTCGTTGAAATACAGAAATATCAGCTGTTTGAAAGTACTCAATTATAAACCTCTCAAATGCGAATCAACTTATCAGGAAGCCTCATAAACGCATCAAAACTCATTAATTTTCGATATCCAAAATTTCACTTAAACGTACTCGTGAACTCAGAGTATTTTGCACTCGGGTGTCACCACATTCATTCGTATGAAATAATGATGAAATAATTGGCACGTAAAGCTAATGTAATTTCCGAAAAATAATGTTAAACAATTGGATTGTAGATCTCAAAAAATTGAGAATCATTTAAGAGTTTCTAGATTTGATTTTAAACGGAAGATATATGATAACAATGGTAACCATGAATTAGCTCAACAAAAACTCTTACGGTTAATAACTATTCAATTCGTAAAAAACAACTGATTCAAACTGTTGACACATGATGGCAACTTCTTGTCCTCCACCTATGAGACAACCAAAAGCTAGACAAGCAACTTTTGTACGAGTCTCAAGCTGTCATCCATGATAACAAACTACTGCTATAAGCAAACAAACATCGAGAAAGCAATACTATCGCGAACATTTCTTCTTCAACACGGCAACACTCATAAATCTTATCATACCACTTCTACTTTCAACTACATCTCAAACAATCTTCGAATATCAATTCAACGGCTGATGTGATTCGTTTGCAATATCGATGTATATTCACCTGAACTCAGCCGTTCACAATCATCTTCATTTGGTTCCGTGAAAATGTACATTCAGTTAATCGAAAATGATCATTTTCAATATGTCAATCCAGAAGACATTATTCACTGAAAGAAGTGCTTCTTCACATAGTGGAATATTCTGTGACGATTATATATGATTTATGAAGAAGTTGACTGAATAGATGACAAACGATGAGATGTCTGAATAAATAAGCGATAAAACATAAGAATGACGACAATAATAATTGATGACAAAGAAAACGGACGAGATAAATTATATGAAATCTTTTGTATGAACCAAAAGATTTGCAACTCAACCGAACTTCAACATCTAACACCATTCCACAACCGCTATAGAACACTGAACTCTCATCCTACTTATATGATGAGAAAACTTAAACCAAAACGTCACTGAAACTTATTAATCAGTTGTTCCCAATCACTTGGCTTTCAAGAACATCATCGAAAAATCAAACAGATAAATATGTTGTTCATCGTCATCACAAATCAAAATTGACTTCGGTCGTTACGAATGAATCAATTGTTTGTTCACCTCTTTTGAAAATCCTCCAAATTACAAAAAACTGCACGAAGAATTCACAGTGGCCTGAATGAAGGCGCTGTCTTCTCATCTCAACATTTTATAAAAAAGACCGACTCAATGCATTTCAATATTACTGCTGTATTGCATTAACTCAAGATGAATGACAGCTGCAAATAGAGAAACTTTAAGAAATAGGAACGAATGTGCATTCAACAGTACGCAGATACGCTCAAAAAGATTAGCAACACGGATTTGTTGACAACGTATAGCAATGAGGACGAATATTACATCATAGCATCGTAAAATATTGCATTGCTTCACCAATTCTGTGAACCAAAAAATGAATACAAATCCGGTCTTAACTGTCACAAATTTGTTTGTTAAAATACGACCAATCGTCATCGAAAAATCTCTTCAGTGTGAGCAGTAATCTGTAAATAATTCTTCAAACTCCAAATACTGCATGATGTAATCGTTATACTTGTAAACTGTTGATAGTACTGGAGAACGAAATTTCGAATATGACAAAATGATTACAACGGTTGTTTTCAGAAAATAAAAACGGCCTCAAATAATGAGCATAAAAAATAGACAAATAACATTGGAAGAGATGGAAAAACGCTTTTATATAAACTAGCCAACTAAAACACTACAAGAAATAGAGAGCGGACACAAAAGAGTACTGAAGGATGAAAATAAATCATAATATCATATTCATAATAGCCGTTCACTTGATTGCCCATATCAATAATCTCATCCTCTTCATAATCAATTCACTTCATATTCGATCGTTGATGACTTCGATTATTTGTTTTTGCATTGAAGTTGCTATAAAATAAAACCCAAATTTGGATTGGAATGCACAGTACAAAATTGGGTATCCAATTAGATTAAAGAACGAAATGATGAATAAATAGAAACCATATTAGCCTAAATTACTATTGACTCATATATCCTTTCATGCCTCAAACATACATCTTACCTACTGATTCAAAATAATCGATCGTATTCGATAATTATTAATCATCGTTTGCTTTGAAGAAGCGTCCCAATCCCTTCCTTCGTTTCGATACACTCATTTCGGCTTCTTCCTCACTTATCTCACGAATTATAGGACCAGATGATCGCGAACGAGAACCACCACTAAAACCACGTTTTTTATTACACTATCGTGTAAGTTAATCACATTGACAAGTGTGAATCAAATTTCATCGTTATCAACGCAAAATGGAGGAACGTGATAAGTGATAAGCAGTCAACTGAACTGTTTACGCGACGAATGAGCGTTTGCTTGCTGCGGAGAACTGCCGCTGCTGTTACTGATCTCATCTTCCTCTTCATCAACCAATGTTATTACTGGTGCTGCCTCTGATCCTGATGGACGTGTTGTATTGCTCGCCTTAAATGACATAATAAATGAAAAGATTCAAAAAGGAATTCGCTTCCAACGATTATAAAATTTGTCCAACTCATCCACATGAATGAATACAACGTCGGGATTGACGGAATGACAAAAATGTTCAAATAAACACTACTAATGTTTAGCAGTAGATCGTCAAACTTTGGGATGGATCCAATTCATCAACAAAAAAATGGTCAGAAAGAGAAATCAGTGAAAAGTAACAATGATCGTACAAAATTGAGCTTAATCGACAACAATGAGTAGTGAAGCAGAATGGATAATCATAAATGTTAACAGAGTGAAATGTTTAAAAAATTATTTACGGAGTACAACAACGAGAAAAAAATAAACAGTCGGAATGGTGAACTTTTGAAAAAATAAAATTAGAATTAACAGTATGGTTGGTTCTGCTGCTAGTATGAGACGTTGATCTGGGATTAGCCTCAATTGCCTGACGAACGCGAACCGAAGAATCTCCACCAAGATTATGACGAACACGAGTAGAGAATTCACGATCGAAATCTTCGGCCTCCCCTATAAAAGAAAACAAAAGTGATCTGGAACAACGCTGAAGCATTTTGAGAAGATGAAATCGAAAGATCAATCAATCAACAACTGCTCGCAACCAAAATAAATCACCTTGGTCTAAATTCACGAAACGTTGTTCTTCGCGAATACGACCTTCTCGGTCCCTCTTCTTCTCAATAACGTGTGTTCTATCACCAATCGTATGCTCAATCGACATACGCTCACCTACGTTACCACGACGCAATGATTCCCTTAAAACAACATCAACCTTTCAATTCACAGACGGGTTTCAATTCTTCAAAACACTGCGCAGTTGTCAATGCTGCAAACATTAGCATTTTTTGTAGCTTATTTAGGTGAAGGGAGAAGGCCTGTTCAGGCTTGAATTGCTAAACTTTCACTGATCAAATGAAAGCAATTCCACTGCGACAACTGTCTGGATTTCAAAAAAAAAATAGAACGACACAAAACCTGAGTTCAAAACCAGAACCCCTACCTCGTCTCTCTGATATCACCAGCTTTACGAATTGATTTTTCGACGATACGTGGCTGGTCTCCGTTGCGTCCGTCATATGTGATCATTGTCGAATGAGAATAGACATGTGCATTTGGATCGCTCATAATATTCGATTGCACATCCTCCTACAACGCAATGGGAAATAAACTTTTTTTCTTTTCTACTGTATTAATTTTCTTCACATAATGACCCCATCTGCGTAGAATTAATCAATGGATCACGGTAAACATGCAGCAAACGAATGATATAAACAGATGAATCTAATCAGTCAGACATGTAATCTGAAAACAAAACGATCACATGAATATTTGAAATATACCATTTGACGCATGATACCACCAAATAAATTACCCCCGAATCCTCCGAAAGGATTCATTAAAGCCATGTCATCCGGATATTGAGGACGCTGCCTAGCGGTTGCATTCTCCAGCATGCCTAAAAAGTAACACAGTAATGCAAGACTATCCTATGTGTTTTGAGTATTTCGAGTACAAATGAACATTGAATAGCATTTCAACTTGAACTGTTCAATATTTTCTGAATAAAACAAAAGACTTGAGTGAGAAAAATTTAACCTGGATACATGCTATGGCGAGACATCATTCTGAATGGATCCATCATGCTTTCCATCATTCTATCCATATCACGCATTTGGCGCCTCATTTGTTGATGAATATCGCTGAAAGTTTAACAGATTCACTCACTCTCTTTTAATTCAGATTTTTTTCACAAATGAAAGTGAAATGAGGCTGTTTGTTTTTAGTTCATCATCAGATAGTTGTTTTGCTCAACCGTCACAGACCGTTCACCGTTCCAAAATCAAGGATACTGGGTGTGTCACTTAAATTTATGATAATATGAAAAAAACAAAAATAAAACTAACACAATAATGATAACGATAATAAACATGTGAACATATACGTAACAAAAATATAACTTATTAAAGCAAGCCAAAGAATTTTGAATAATGTTTAAAAATGGACAGAAAAAAACCAGTCAGACTGCATCAGCATTGAGCTTGGCATTACACCTAAAATGTTCACCACTTTTTACAACTATATAAACACTTCCGTTATTGTTACCTGTTTCAACATGGTGAATATTCTAACCTCTTACTGATTGCCATCTTTTCTTTGATGAAACGTTTACTGTGAAAGAAGGCGCTGATTGAGTGAAACTACAAATGTGCATCAAGAAGGCGAACAGGGATAGGCGCTGAGCATTGTGCAAAGCAGCAATTACTTCTATTTCGAGACTATTGATTCTAGTTCACAGAGTGATTCATCGCACAAACACATATACATACATACATCCTAGCAACCTTTTGCTGACGTTTTCATGTCAGCCTATCAGTGGAAATGTTCATCGATAAACTTATCCAGGCGAAGAGACGCAAGTTGCTATTAGAGATGAAACGAAAGTGTGAAAAGAGTTTGAAATGAAAAAGAGTACTGAAAATGAAGAAATGTAGGACAGTTGAAAAGGGAAATTACTTTTGAAATTCTTAGGGGAAAATAAGAAGAAAGAAATGAATGTATTACAATAATGACACACATAAAGTGTTCATTTCAATCAGCTGTTTTATGATGAATTGTGAAAGCATTCAATCTGCAGAGGCAGTGCTAAATATATATCAGTATTCCAAAAGTAAATGAATCACTGATCGATTGATTCATCGGTGCTCAATGTTAGTTTTGTATTTCATCGGAACACAAAGAAATGCATACTTTATATTGCTTTTTGAACACAAACTCCAACCGATTGAGGGCCTTTATCTCGGAATGAATGCCTTCTTGTAACAAGAAATATATCCAAACGCGACGACAACAGCTCCAAGAAAATTTTTCGCACCGTCTCATCTAACTGATCCGACTTTCTATCTTGTTTCGGTTGTTTAGAGAAACAATAATTACTTCTCGAAATGTCTCAAAAACTCTCAGAATTTTTCAAAATGATCCAAAAATTTCTCAAAACGCCGCATTCCAAGAAAATGTCGATATTTAGCGAAATTTGTTACCTGGTCTCGATGATTCGAGAAAGGGCAGGCCATTCAATTCTGTCTCTTTTTGAGTGTTTTCCGCGGCGCAATCCCTAGCAAGTGAGTCATACAACGTCGGCTTATAAGTTAAAATAATAAATAAAATTTGAGGAATGATATACAAATTATTTCAATTTCATTTCTGACATTTTAAATCGATAACAGTTTCTCCCATTCTTTATTAAAGCAGATGAACACTTTTTCACGTAATATGCACATATTAAATTCGACCATGCAGACAATGCGTTTATAGAAACATCATGATAGATTCAATAAAGATGAAAAATCAAATACATAAGATTAAGAAAAAGAGATAAACCTTGGCGCAATACTCATAATTAACTTTAAAAATGGTTCATTCGTTTCAAACTTCTTTATAATCGCCGTTTATAATGCAAAGATGATGCAAACGCAGAAGAGAAGTGATTTGTGAAACTGAGTGATTTCAGCTACAGTTGGAAGCTGACCAATCGGCAGTTTCAGAAAGCCGAATTTCGGCGATCACCGACCAACATGCGTATTTTGCCTCAAGCCGCCGACCGGAACAACGTTGAAAATTTGCCTTATCGGGTGGCTACCGATATAGTGCTCGGCCGGTGGTCAACAGAAATCTGCCGCTCCTAACTTTAGAAGCGAATTGGTCACAGAGCTTCAAATTAATAGAAAGAACGGCTTACCCAAAAATATTACCAAACGGGTCACCACCAAACATGTTTGTACGATATGACACTTTCTTCTCTTCCTATCTCATGCAGTTCAAAATTTCGTTTAGCACCACCGTTCTAAACGAACCCAATGTTCTAAAACTGAAATCAAATATTCTTGATACGCAAATGAAACGAACATCAATGCATCAAAACATACACGCATATTCGATAGCTTTCAAAGTCAATAAGGTGGTGCCACTCGAGGAGCAGTAAAAATAAATCTCAAAACAACTGAAACTTTCGAGGAGGAATAATGAAAATTTTTCGAAACCAAATTGCACAACCGATTCCTCCATTTTATAGTAAATTGTTATGAATGAAAAACGCTAGAGTGGGGCATTACGTGGCAAAGCATCACGCATTGGCTGAGTTTGATCGATACAACGAGCCATGAAAAATCCTTTTATACAAACATCAAATTCAAGTTATCTTCCTGCTCAGCAAATTCATTCTTAAAATTCTAAACTAAAGAGAAGGGCAGTACAATATCACACACACACACACACGCCTTATATTTGCTTTTCATGAATAACAATAAGTGAACAAATAATAAACAAACAAATATATTGATAATTTATATAAAGATCTGTCGGTAATGCATATGTAAATGGATGATGGCATAGCGTAACATCAATTTTCTAGACTGATCGCAGTCAGCGGTAGCATCATCACGCGCACGACTCATTTATATTACACACTCTCTTTCTGTCTATCTCATCGAGAACGTGTTAAGTAAGGCAGAGAGAGAGAGATGCAGATGTGATCATCCTGTGCATGGCACAACTAGAAGGTAGATAGATGTTTGGAGAGACAGACGACGGTTCAATGGGGCCGATAAACAATGAAAGACGTACGAACGAGTGAGTGCTGTGTATAAATCAAAAATCATAAAATGTTTTCAATGAACGATTAATTGATGTGATTTACGGAAACCTTTCAGTAAAAAAGCAACATGCACAAAAACACTTCCTCTAATGGAGGGAAAAACTACATAAAATGAATCAAGATCGGACAAATTCTTTGGCAATACCTGAATGAATGAATGAACGAAAGGAATTCAGAAATTTTGATTTTCCATTTATACAACCGTTCAGCGTTTCAGAAAGGGACGCTAATTAATAGATGGAGGATGCATCTGAACATGAATGAAGCAAAGATTTTGCAGAGAAGTTCGGATGGAAAATGATGAAATCAATAAATAAGAAACTGAATTGAAACAAAAATCGGTTTTTGTTTGAATAAGAAATTAGATGAAACCAGCGAATCAGTCATCAGTCTACATGTTTATAAAAACACTTTAAAAGAACTTCGCATGAGAACGCAATCAAATACTGATTAAAGCGATAGTGAATACAGCAGATAACAGTAGCAATTATCAATCGATAAGATACGAGCAGCTGCAATAAAACCATACCAAATTATCAGCAAAATATTTCAAAAGAATATTGTTTAATCCACCACGATTCTAATCATATTCAGATACAAAACTGAAAGTGGCAATTAACACCGGAAATTTTGAACTGCCTTAGTTTCAAGTTTCGAAACGGTGCTCTAAAATAACAACAATCTGCGTGAAATATCGGATCGAAAAAATTATTGTGAACAATTGCTGAGTCAGTTGGTTTCCTGAGGACGTTGTAGTATGCGAATTTCGAATTTGAAAACTTTAGTTCGTTTTGTTATTTGAAAAGGTGTTGAAACAACCTGTTTATCGGAAAAGATGAGCTTAAAAAATCACCCCATCATTTTTTTCCCACCCGAGACATCGAAGCAAGTGGTGTGGGTCAGCATGTGGATTTAGGGGTAAATCTATTTGGTAAACTTTTGCCGTATCTTCCAGCACACCTTCTGTGAGTGGTTCGGTACCATTTCAGGCCACACAAATTACTCTTTTTCATGGTTGTTGAATTTCCAGAATATCCCTCTCTATTTAAGGCAGCTGCTGCGTACGGATGGGTAAATAGGACCGATTTTCGATAAATTCTGTTTCAGAAGTCCACATCAATTCAAAACACCGAGGAACAAAACTGAGGAAGTGATGAGGACTATAAACTATGCCTGTGGTTAAGCTTCGTCTTCAGAACGAAAAGTTCAACGCTCTTTGAAAGAATTCATTTTTGAAGATTGTGATGCATTTCGTTGTTGGCGTGGATCATTCTTGGGCAATGAGGGTTTGAAAACCGCCACAGAAGCGAATTCAGAAACAAGCAGTCGATCATCATCACTATTAATGGATACAATATCTATCAAAGGATACAATATCAAGATATTTGGCTGAAATTGGTAAGGTCACTAAGATGCAGAACCACATAACTTGATAGACAACCAAAAAACCAACTGATTCAGCACATTCGAATGACGATTTGATTTTACGCTTCAGGAATGAACCTTTGCAAGACTGTGTAATGAGTAATGGTTTTGTATGACAACAGGAAACATGGCTACGTACGGATCGATGAGCATCCTCCTCCTACAACATTCCTAAAATCGGATCTCCATCCCCAAAAAAATTTCCTATCTGTTTAGGGGTGTTGTAGTGGATTAATTTATCACAGTCGATTGTAGCCAGGTCGCAGCATCAATATAGAGTCTTACAGTCGTGAACTGAAAATGATGCATCTAAGAGTGTAGAAATTTTAGGAGGCAATGGTGATGAGGAAAGCCAATCTTGCTTCAGGATAACACGAAAGTTACAATTCGAAAATTATCCACAAAAGCAGACGCAGTATGGCATTGAAGACTGGCTTTATCTGCCAGATTCACTGCACCTTTAAATCACCAATTATCACTCTTGCATGCGGCTCGATGCATTCCCATGTAAGGAGGTATTCAGGAATATGGATGATGTCAAAAGTGTCTTCGAGCAGTTTATTGACCCTTGTAATATCGGTTTCTACCGTCACAATATGAATTCTTTGCCACATCGTTACTTTGAACAACACTGTTGATCCTGAGGAGGGATATCACTTTTCAAAGTTTCGTGTTTTCAAATTCGGTGTCAATTTCGTGACTATCTGTCAACCTTATAGATCAATTTCTTTCGCATGAATTTTGATATAGATTGTTTCCGGCCAAAAAAAGCATCTTGCGAAAAAGTGATGAAGAAAATTCTGAATTTTCATTACTGTAGGCGAAGAAACAAGTTGATCCAACGATGTCTGAAACCAATTTTAAAAATAGAATTTTATTGTTGCATGAACTATATATAGGTTATTGCCATTTAAAGAAATATTTTCTTTTCGAAAGGCTGAAGCAAAGAAATTTCAAAATCTCGAAAATAACTACCACCTTGATGAAAACATCTTCGTCCACTGAAGTATTTCAAACTTTGAAATGAATAACTCATATATGATGAACAAGCAATTTGGGTGCAATAGAGCACGCCGTATCGCTCCCGCGACTGGCACTCATATTTATGGTTCATCAATTATTTAGCTCGGCTAGCGAGCCACAATCACACTAATAAGATGTCACGTCTCTCTGTACTGATGACAAAACAAGCCTTGCGTCACCCTTCGAGAAGAGGTCGAAACCTGCACTAAGTTTCAACCTCAGAGTGACACTTAAAGCCTCAAACTCACGATGAGCTTAGTCCCCGAGTCGATGCCAAAATTTCAATCGTACCGACCCGATATCTTCCGAAACTTTCTAAAAGACCGTTGCACGATTTTCGCAAATGCGACGACTACTTTCATATACTTCGAATTGCACTGAAGTTCTAGGAACTGAAGTTGCAAGACTTCAATTTTTAAATGTTTCCTTTTGAACAGCATTTACTGGTACAATTTTTATACTACTACTGTTATATTCATATCCATAATATTTGTCCTAGGCTTGCCATATTTTGAAAATGCCTTTCCAATCAAAGCCACAAAAAGCTATTCATTAACGAAGAAAAAACGATAAAAATAAAGAAAAGCTAATGCCATGGTTCATCGGCAGATCCACATTATGAGCGATGGTGTTGACGATGTTTATTTACGACTTCACATCTGAGAGAAGAGAAGAGGAAACGTACAAAGAATAGGCAGTAAACATTTATTTCTCATTTAACAAAATGTGTTATGAAGTGAACATTCACAACAAGAAACAAGTGAGTGTAACTGTCGTTTAAAAACGAATAAATAAACAAACAACAAATTCATCGCACAAAACAAAACAATTATAAACAATAAAAATGCATTTCGTGACCAAACGAAATTTATGTTCATTGTCAACGTCTTAACAAGACAATATATAATGATCGAGAAACGATGAAGTCATTCAAATCATACAATAAACAGACGGTGACTATAGAGATGAGTGACAGCTACCTGTCTTCCTCTTGCCAACTTCATCATGCAAACACACTTGAAGTGGCATGATGAATGAGGCAATGAAACTTTCATTATTATCTTTAGCAAAACAAAATTAATGCATTAAAAATGCAATTATTAATGATCAGTCGCCTTCAGTTGCAAATGTTCTAACATCGGAGAGTTTTTTTGATGGATTACTGTTTTCAGGAAATGGAATATTGCAGTATAACAATGGCAATAATGATATCATAATGAATGTAATAATAAAACACTTTCAGTAACAACCATTAATGATTAGAGCGCAAGGTAGATCAAATACTGCCATACACTGAAAACTGAATGCGACAAAACCGAACTCATAAGAGATGAACGAAAAAACTTTCAGATATTTTTTAAGTTCAAAAAATTTCAAGCAAAAGCAAATACCACATTTGTGACTTTGATGAGATCCATCTGATGAAAGTCGAATGAATATAATCACTAAATCAATCAATAAATCGCTAGATTCCCTTCACAAATACACCATTAAGATGAACAAAACGAAAAAGGAATTACTGACAATGAGTAAAATGTGACCTCATACGTACTCAAAGCTAGGAATACGGTTGAATAATCAGCAATATTAAGACTAAAACAGGACGACATTTCATAATCGTTGGTAATTGCTCACACAGAATTTTACTACGTTACGTAAAATTACACCTCACCTTTCCTCACAGTTATTGTTAATTTGATTATGAACGCACACGCTCTTATCGCTAATTTTTATTCTTCGCTAAAACAGTCCTTTTAATGTGTGAATATTATACTTGAGATCGCTTGACTTTACTTCTGCTATTCATTCACTTCAAACTGATCAATGTTCCGTAAGAACACAAAATTACTTTCTGCACTAACGGTACCGGTAATAATACTGACTATAGTAACAATAATAATAAGAACAACAATGTTGTCGTTATATAACATTAAAAGAACTTCTGATAAAAGTAACCGCTTAAATGATGGAAATGCAACAAGAAGTGTTCATCGTAATTATCACAGTTTTGATCTGACTTAAATTAATGCACATATACGCGCGCGCAATATATGATGAACTATGCATTAAACAAAGTCTTTGGATTACTCAGTCTACGAAATCGATCGATGAGATGCGGTGCTCTTCTTGATATGTTTTCGTTGGTTGCTTTCAGATGCTCTTGTTGAAGACGATAGTCTAATGCAGCCTTCAATGGAATTATTTGATTTTAATGAACACTTGAATGGTTGAATTCCACAAAGGAATATGGAATTGTGCACGTCAACTGATAATTATCATAACTCATATTTAAAACTGTAATGATAACAGTAATTGAGTGTTAAATATTTTCTCTGCCAGTCTTTCACTAACCTGCATCACACGAAGACGTTGACGATAGTTATTTGCACGAACATGATCATTGAGCAGCTGAAAATTCACGAAAATGATTCAATTTTGCTAAATCATAGAACATCAGCAAACTGAAATCGAGAATACAAATAATTTCAAGTCTAGGTGGACTTGAAACAAAATAATTTCAAAGCAATCATGCAGATAAACTACAGCTGAAGAATATGAACTCAAAAATAATTGCGTGAATTCACAAGTTCGTAACAGCTCTCTTCAAATAAATGCTAAAATTTGTCCACATCTATCGCACGCATCATTTTTTGCTCGAACAGACACATCTGTAACATATTAACCTGCTGCACATACGATGATGGAAACCAACCTCCACATGAATCACGAACTCTCTCGCCATAATACCAACCTAGAAATCGAAATTGATACAACTGAACACACCAAATCACATTCGTTCACAATTTAAATATCTTCGGGAATTCAGAAAACAAATTAATGAACAAATCAATGAGAGGAAAACGATATAAAAAACTACCGTCAGGCATTTTGCGGAGTATATTAACGATGTCGCCTTTTTGCAGGCTTAATTCGTCCTCCTGACTTGCCGTATAATTGTGAACAGCAGCCGCCTGCGGACAATCCCAGTCTGCGTAGACTTTTTCCTCAGGATTTGAGCACTATAAGTGATCGTTATCAATTAGATTAATTAAGCATTGTTTCCGTTTCGATTATAAATGCAAGTAAGTGCGAGACAATAATTATCCATGATTGATTCACAAAGATCACTGATTTACTGCTGTCTGCTAGCGCTCTGCACCATCATGTTTTCTCGATCAATCGGAGTGCAGCTTTGGATATACTTCGAGCCTCTCTCCCCGAGAATACACCTTTATCATCGTCAAATCAATAATCTCTTTATGGAGAAAAATGATTCCTGGTGCAGCTGCACGAAAAGACAGTCGTCAACGAAGGGGCAATTTGGAGTTGTGGTATTGGTGACAACAAAGCGGCATAAACTCAAAATGAGTTATAAATGCTGACTGAATAAATAACAAGTTGGGAAAGTGAAGTATGTTACAGGTGCAGAGAAAAAGCGCATGACAATTTTGCAATTGAAAAAAAAAACAATCATTCGACAGAAAAGTGAAAAAAAAACAACGAACAAATGAATAAAACTGACTGTGGGCGGCCTTAATGCCGATAGCCAACGTTCACGATCGCTTTCGGAGTCAGCGTTCAATAACAGTTCAACTTGACGACCACGAGCGTTATGCATTAACGTACAAATAAACAGATGTGGTTTTGTTTGTAAATTCGAAATCGCTGCTGCAGGAACCTAAAATATGAAAACTGAAAAGAATTGCGACGAAGAAACATCAGACAGTTAATTATGCAGTAAAATATGAGTGATAATAAATCGATACGAAAATATCATAATAGTTGTGATTTGTAAATTAAATCTGACCTTGGGACTATCCAATTCAACAGGCTCAACATCGACAAATCGCCTTGCGGAATAATCTTTACACACAAATGTGCCATTTCTGAAATGCGAACATCAAAATTTTCAGAAAAAAAAAAGAAATTGAAGATGATTCAAGCGTTCCCAAAAATGATTACGTAAAAATAGTAGGCGTTCCATGTCATAATTGAATGGAATTGAGAATAATTTCTTATTAATAATCATAAATGCAGATCTGTTGCGCTGCTGATTGATCTATAAATTGTTACGAAGTAACAATTAACAAATCAATTCAAACTACACTGAAATTATTAACGGAGTTAAATGAAGAAAAAATAATCAGTGAAAGATCAGAAAGTATCATACTAATCACAAAGCTTACAGTTTTTTCTTGGTGATCATAAGAATATCGTTAAAGAGAAATAGATGAATGTTATGCGATCGTTGACGTGAATGCAGAAGATTTTTTGGTCTTACACCGATCAGATGCAATAATGAACCTCGTTTTACCAAATAACGACCTGATGATACCAGTGGAATGCGTCTGAACGAGAAAGCTTCGTTGGCTACTTGCTTTTTCAAATTATAACACTTTCATCAACGTGTGAATCTCTCATTAAAATAACAAACGTCGTATGATTACCATCGAAATTTCCAATTTTCGAATACGAAAGCATTATGACACCAAGATGAAGTGATCATACGTAACTAAAACTGTCAATAAAAGCAAAAGAGATCACCTGAGATCAGCCGACTTATAAACAAGACATCGCTCGATTTGCAACAATTGCTCAGTACGATCCATGAGACGAGCACCCTCGTTACAACACTTCACCACCTACAATAAACGCATTCGTTTATCGGTGACCAAATGCACAACGAACGAACAGTTTTTAGGGTTGCCAATAGAACGAACATAGTTTGCAAGATTTAACGCCATTTGTGCGGTTTTATGTTGCACTGATTCAGCTGGAACACGATCAAGCACAGCGATTACGAGTAACGGATATCGTGTGATTCGCTGCATGGGCAACATTAGAAAGGAACGCATATCAAGTCCTTGGCATAAGCGATCACTCTCCAGTCGTTCAATACATGACAAAAACGCTGAACTGTAACATCTGAAAATGACGGTGCTTTCATTCATCAAATTATATGATACAGTTGGGGTATTTTTAGCGTTAATATCCAACGGTAATCTACAAAAGGCGATTTGCAGCACGCACAATATATTGATCAGTCAAGTTTCAAAGATCGACGCACAAACGCTCATAAGTGGCCATAATCAGAGGGAATACGATGATTGATTATATCTAGGCTTGGTCTTAGGCTTATACCGGGGCTAGGATATCTATTTTAAAAAATCGATGGTTTCCTCTTATGAGTCTCGGTGTAACCTTCAGCCGAAGTATAATTCGTCGCTATATTTTACGTTGATTATCACCACTTGGTGTTCAATTATTCAGCCAGTTCAAAAATAGTTTTTTTTGATTTCTTTTTGTTGACGGAAAAATAGTTGACGGACCAGTGATTAGAGATTAAAATTTGGAACTGCAGAGTGTTAATTCAGGGACACGGTATGGTTTACAGGACTTCCTTAACAGTCCCATTTACCAGTTAGTAATTGCAAGTCTCTTAGAAAGTTATGGGATTATCCTACATCACGGAATGCCGTGCTCCTTCTGGCTATCTAACAGATGAGTACTGAAAACATTCAAAGATAATAAAGCACAGAATGGGAAATATCGATGTAGCTGATGCACTTAATCATTTGATTGAAAATTGAAATAAAATATTTTTTGAGACGATTGACTTAAATGGCAAATGAAATCGATGAAATTTTAAGAAGAAATCGCTGCCGGTAACACAATGGACAACACTCAAGAAAACATGAAAATAAATAAATGTATGAAAATAAATGAAATTAAAAGAAACTTCAGTCTCTTCAGTGTTCTGTCTTGATAAACTTGATTTGAGCAATACTTGATGTATGGATCGAAATATGAATTAAAATGCTCACATAAAATATCACATACATCTGTTAGCACAAGACTCTCTTCAAGTCTTGATTCCAAATCACATAAAAGTCTGAAAACGACACACTTCGGTTATTTGTTAACTCGATCGACTTTCATTATGAAATGCTAAATTTCATTGAGATAACTGGCTCAGTGAATGGCAAAAATATGAAAGTTTTTTGCAAGAGAACGAAAAAAACAATTAGATGAAATAAGCATTAACCTTTCACTACAATCACGAACTGAGAAAATATTACTGAATAGGCGTTTCCGTTCCTCATTGCAGATTATAGAAGATGTTCCTTTTGAACCTGCAATACAAACCTTCTTACTTCACTGAATATTACAAATTACGAAGTCGCACACAATAACACAAATACGAAGCAATATTACAAAGTCGCAAAAGTATCTCGAAACATTGATGAGATTTATAATCGTATAATGACGTTACAGTATCAAACTAGTATTGTTTGGGTCTTTGCAGAAAAAAAAGCATATAACTTTACAAAACACTGATACTCAGTGAAACTATTAACTATACAGAAACGAACGTCTTCTTTAGATGGCACATATGCGAAGAAAAAGAGCAATAAAAAACTACTGCAAAATAAAATTGCATACCCAGCAGTTCAGAAGCAGCCATAAAATGTGTGATAAGAATGTTGAGTGAACGAAGATATGACGCTTCACTGGTTATCACTTCAAAATAAGCTTCTTGTAGTTTTTTCTCACGATCATCCAGTTTTTCCAATAAACCCGAATTTTTAACCTAGACACAGTGAAATTAAGTGCATACGCGAAGCATGCATAAAAAACAAAGAAAATAGAAACGATTCAACTGAAATTAATGAAAAAAAGAAGATTAAACCTCAGTTAATTCACACCATAATGAACGTTGACTACCAAAATGACTAGCTGCAACGAGTCGTTCTCGACGCATCGATGGATTTGAAGTGATGTGAGATACCGTTGTTGAACAGTCTGCACCTCGGCCACTATCTGTTGATCCAGAAGAAGAATTTCGTCGCACCTGAAAATCACTAGAAATCATTACAACGAGTATATTTCGACCATTCATTATGGTGATTACTATCATAACATTTAGATGGGAATATATATTCTTTAAAATAGCAAATCATGCCTTTTCACTTACAAATTTTTAAACTGTACATGCCAATCTGATGATCATAAAATATCATTCCTCCGAAAACTTCACTGCATTCTAATTGTAAGCGTTGAAATGACATGAAACTAAAAATCATTTTGTTAGGTACCTTGTGATCACTAGAGTTTTGAGCAATTTCACCACTGAACACTGACGTTAAATCCGTGATATTGTTATTTTGATGGACATCGAAAACAATCCCATCCTTTTGCTGCTGTTCCATCATGTAGATCTGGTATAAAGGCTGAGGTTCTGGTAGAAATCTGAAGTTGTTTCGAATCGGTTTTCTATGAAAAATATCTTTTATGTATAGCATTAATGAATAACTTTTTACTTCATGCGGTAATTATATTTACTAAGAAATTGACTGTTCTGTGCAGAATTTAAAATTTTAAGAAATCTCAACGAAATAGGCAAAAGGAAGTCATTAATGTTCCGCGCAGAATCATCACAATTTCAATATCACCTTTGCTTCATTTCAATCTGGCAAATTTTCGAATGATACATGAGATTAGACGAATAAAAAAATAACTGAAACAAATCCATGCGCCTCCCATTTATGAAAATGGTTCCTTACAAATCAAAACACCAAGTGAATCAATAAACATAGTCAAAATCGAATTCAAAGAACAACCTTGGCACATAAACGAATCGATCCACATCACTGAATGTTTCATCAGATGGACTTTTTGGCAAATCAGTGTTATTCTCCTGAATCGATAATTTCGATGGTGATACCTAAATGAACACAATATCATACTACAACTGAACGCAATGAAAGCGTTTCATTCAACGTCATGCAAACGAACTTGAATATTCTCATCGAAATTCAAATTAAGCAATGACGTTTGTATATGCGCATCGCATCAACACAATCCCGCATAATTTTAAAATTGATATTGTTGATTATTAACAACGAATTGCAACTGGAAAGCAACCACTGACCAGAACAGTTTCATATCCATCCTGAGTTGTTCGGAGACTGTGAACAGTCATAGTTGTTTTTAATGCTTCATGCAAATTATTCACATGAGACGATGGCGACGATGATGAAAAATTCTTGTTTATTTCATTTAATTCCATGTCACCATCATCGGACTGTATTGTTTCACTATCACAATCAATCGAATAACTTGATGATTCCATGTTGCCATTCAACGATTTCACTTCAGATTTCGGTACAACATCTGAAGATACTTCATAAACTAGAGCACTACTGTTAAAGAGTACTTTTGAACGAGACGAAATTGCACAACTTATAAGGAAAGTTTCACATCCTTCCTGAGTTGTCAAGGCATTTTGTTTTAGACTAATTTGCAAAAGGACTTCAAATAGTTCTGTTATGATTAATGGTAACCGCAGAAGAATATATCCCAAAAAACAATATCATGGTCAGAATAGAAGAGGAGTAATGAGATAAACATTCACAATTAGTTCAAATAAATAATTGACCATTTCTGTTGAAAGATCACTGACGAGAGGAGTTAATAATCGATCGCTTTAATAAAGAAGTTAACCAATGAAATGAAGTTGATCATAACAGAAGTAGATATGTGAAGATGAAGTAGAAGCAAATCATGACAAACAACGAAAAGAACGTAAAGCAAAAAGCACACCTGGTAACAAATTGGTAGGTGAATTTGCTGAAGTTAGTCGGATATTCAACTCTTGTTCAATTTCACTCAGCATCGAAATTGGCTTGTTCACATCGTCGACGCATTTATTCACTACGACATCACTTTTACTCGTACCTAGTCCTTCTAGTCCAACACATATTTCACTGCTTTTCTCTACATCAACAACTAGAAAGATCGTACATTAATGAAATTTTACATCATTACAACAATGTGTATCAATCTTCAGAATAATGATAAATACAACTTACGATTGGTGTTCGATTTATGCATATCATCATCTTCATCAGTAGATGACCAATCATCGCCATAAATGCACTCCTCATCGAGTGGGAATTGCATTCGAGCGATGCACTCTTCATTTGCTTGATTATCAGCATTATCCACATAAAACATTGACATTGCACGATCTCGTCGTTGTTTTTCTTGTGATGACGATGTCACTTTCAACTTAATTTGACCAACCTAGCATAAACAAGTCTTGGTAAGCAAAGCTACTATTGAATAATGAATTCAGTCACACAACCGAATCACTCAGTACGGATCTTGATTACTAATACTGATAGTTATACCACCTTTTAAATGATCGATTATTTCGAACGTTAATTAAGTTCTGGACGATTTAGAAACCAATAGAGTTTCTCTGGCAAACCACCTTGTAGGAATGGGAAGAAATGAATATGAAATGTGAAGCGAAGAAAATGGTGTTGAAGTTAACCTTTTTGGTGATATTAAATTGAATATCAGATTTAATGCGCAATAATTTATCCAGTTCGAGTGTACTCATTGGTCTTCGTACACACGATGGTAGCGATTTCTTTCGAAATGCAGTTGAGTCTGCTGAGGACTGATTCTGTAGAAATATACGTGAATGGATTATAATTGTAAGAAATATGATGACACAACGAAATAATCTCCAATGTATATCCGAATGAAAAAATGACACTCGATTAAAAATGGAACCAAGAAACTAAAAACTACTTTTTGAATGAAGACCGATGAACCGTTTCCTTCTTCTGCATTTGAAGGACAACGCTCAAATTCATCTTCACTCTCACCCGATTGATCACATTTTATTTGCAATCTCTTTGATTTCAGTTTGTTTTCCGCCACTTGATCGTGATTGTTTTCAGGTTCTTCACATTCCACTATTTCATCAGCTAATGAATAAATATCTTCATCTTTATCTGATACATGGTTTTTGGATGAACTGAAAAAAGGATTTCAAATAAATGAAACATGAAGAATTCAAAAATTCATGGAACGCATATACATATCCACGAATAACATTTTACCTGCTTGTTATCGATGGTTTGCAAACGCAAACTGAACGTTCCAAATGATTCACTTTCTCATCTGAATAATTATCTGAATCACTGAATGCTTCCTGCAAGTCATAAACCATTAAAATATCAAATACTTTCACCATGATAACACGTTTGCGGGCAAAAATGATCCAGGAATTTGCCATTAACACCGCTACAGGAACGCGACAATAACGATCCGCTAGACAATGCATTAAACGAAATCATGAACATTTTGCATGCAGTTTGCAATTGGAACGCAATCATGTTGGATTTGACTGTATATTGAAAAATGATAAATTGTCCATTGTATCTACAGTTGTCACTTCAAAAATCCATACTATAATTACCGGAATTGAAATAGCTTGTGCAATTTCTTCATACATGTCATCCTCATCTGATACATCCCGTTCGGATAGTTTTGGTGGTGACGGTGGCGGTATTGACGGCACTCTTAAATTAGCTATTTTTAGCACCCTACTAAAAATATTTCGGCTAACAGTTGTGTTCACCGTATTCTAATACGAAGCAAATATCTGCTTCACCGTGAATAATATGAATAAGGATAGCGATCATCATAAACAATGAAAGATCTTAAAAAAAAGAAATCATTATATGAAACCACTCAAAGATTTTTTGCATCACGTAATGTGCAAAATGTTGAATTACTGTATTTTAAGCTTGAAAGAGGACAACCGAAACAAGAAATAAACAAAAACAACGTGAAAATTATGGTCATAACCATTTGGAACGCTTTTATGACCAAAATTACTATTCATTAACATTGAATTAGCAGTAGTATGTGCAAAATCAGAATCGAAGAGATGAATAATGAGAAGATTAATCAAACAAATTACCTAGGTATTTCAGCACCTTCGACACATTTGCGTTCGAATCGAGGAGATTTTGGAACTATTTTATGACCATTACTGTGTTCAGTAGGGCGACTTTCATTTGACGAAAAGGATTTCGATGATGATGGCATTGATGTTTGATCGCTCGTATCACTGGATTTCTTTCTCTGATCGTTATTTTCTGATTGATTCCCAATTACATTTGACTGACTTTTAATGAGTGTGGTTAAGTTTGAAATTTTACTTGATGATAAACGTTTATTGTCAGTACCGTTATTAGTGTTGGTGGTATTCAATGGAAGTGATGCAGAATGAGCTTGTTCTCGTAACAATAATACTGATGGACGTGGCAGATGAATCGGTGGGGGAGGTGGTTTCACTGTCGGTTTTTTGATCGTTTCATCGATATTATTATCGCAAGTTCGCTTCATATTGTGACTCTTTTTAACGACTGATGCTATCAATCGTTCATGATTATTACTATCGGTAAGACTGTTCACTTTTTTTTCACGCAACAAACTAGCAGCACTAGGAAGAGCAGCGATTCCTCCACATTCAACATTATCATCCACACTTCGATCTTCTTCTTTATTCATCATCGCCGCAGAGTTATCAATATTGTTATCATTACCATAATTAGCCATACCGCTATTATTAAGTGCATTATCAGAACGACTGATTGGTGACGTTTGTTGCTGATTATGATCGCAATTATCATTACTGGAGTCATCTTTAGTTCTTCCAGTTTCATTTGAATGGTCGTCACTGTGGCCTTTTTTTGAATGATGATTTTCTGTTTTTCGTTGGTGTTGCTGTTGTGATGCTGATGAAACAATTAAAGACTTAGAGATATCTGAACTTGAATCTAGACGTGTACGTAGATCCGTCTCAGCTGACGTGGTTCTCGATGGCGGGTTCATAGTGAAGGTAGAAGCAATAGTGCGCAAACGATCCGGTTTTCGAGGTGGTATAGGCTTGACAGTACTTTTGTGTAATTTGTCTCTATTAGACGTACTGACATTAGCAATCGATTTGGGAATAGATGAAGAGATTGAAACAGTTCGTTTCGAAACAATGCTAGGATTAGATGCAATTGACTGATGCTCGTCGTGTTCATTCATCGCACTGTTTCCATTCGTACAATTATTGTCATTAAAATAATCATTCGTACTTATGATCGTTTGAGAATGACCACTTTTTGACTGAAGCTTCGTTTCACAGTCTGTTTGTTGATGGCTGTCATCGACAATTTCCATTATTCGTCGTCTTCCTTGCAATCGTTCAAATGTTTTTGAATGATTGTTTATTGTCGCATTCCGTAAGCACCTAATAAGTTATGAAAGTTAGAGAACATTCACGAGCATAATAAAAAAAACAATGAATCAAAAAATATGTAATGTTCATTTGCTAGTCAGTCTTTTTTCAAATGTCTTATTGTTAGATAGATTCAAAAGAATGCGAAAAATTACGAATTATTTGTGAAACGTAATACAATTAACGCGAATGTGTGCATTCCCAGATTATGAGGAATAATACGAATGCATATGACATAATATCAAATGCAATCTAATAATGTTAGGTTATAATTAAAGATGGAAGATGTAGATGCAAGATTATTGATAACATTCATATTAAGAATCTATATATAATATGAATGTTTATTTAACCACCTTCCGTTCACTGAGAATTCAAAAGGACGTAATTCTTAAGATCTTCCAGAGGCAAAAAGTAATAAGAAAGATGTAGATTTTCCAAAATTTTTACGGCGAAAAAAGGAGCCTACTGAACATGTTAAAAAACACGTTAACGAATTTGCTGAGAAGATTAAAAAAACTTGTGCTTACAGAAATCAGTTTGGAGAACTGTTTAAGCGTATCTTCAGTCTGAAGTAACAACGATTTTATGTGATTTCTTAGTAAGTGAAACGTTTTTTTTTTTTGAAAGGGAAGAGATGAGGAGAGAAAATGAGCTGTATTCGATGAGAGGAAGAATGTATTTGAGAAAAAGATGTTAGAAGTTCCAAAATTCTTTTCAGAGACACCTAATCAAATGAAAATAATTTAGAGAAGTGGGAAAATTATGCAAGGAAATATTGCAATTTATATATTTTATATTCATCAACTCACAGGAAAAACTGTAATGATTTGTGAGGGTGTATTTGTACAGTATAATAATACCATCATATGCACTGATTTCATCAAAAACTCAAAAAGCAATGAACTGCTCGACTGATTTCAACATTTCTTGACAATAAGAACAATAACAATACAACGGAAAAAAGCCATTAATATGCATGAATTTTCAGTGGTTCAAGAAGGAAAGATGACAAGAGTAAATGGACGAAGACAAGTATAGACTCGTTAAACTGAATGTAATATTGGATGCTGCGTCGAGTTCGTATTAAAGACGAAACATGTTTCATAAACCGTTTCATACAAATTTCATGTTATTACCAAATGTCACATTTTTACATCCCTCACTCATAAAATTTTTGAACAGAAAATTCGTCCATGCTTCATAGAGCATTACCTTCAATCCTTAAATGATGTACATGATCACGACAGTAAATGAGAACTGATCAAAGGATCATCTGAAGTTGAACTTCAAATGATTTTTTATTAGAAGATCATTTGCTCATTGCATGAAATGATCTGATTTCAACTTGATTGTCTATGTAAATTTCTCTACCCTTACATTAGAACTGATTGAACGAATATGTTGATGTTGCAGCGAATATTTTATGAAGCGCCCATAAAAGATTCAATTGTTTTAAGTTGTCCAGTAATCGCATTGCTTACAATACAATGGAATATGAAACGAAGACCGTTGCAAGTAATATTTGCAAAATCCCGACACTCTAGGAAGATCGGGATTAGAATACATCCCAAAATTTGCTGGATGTAAACGTAGGCAGACATCATTTCAGCGAGTAAATTGTATTGAGTCAAAATTTGAAAAATTGACTAAACATGAAAAAAGAAAAGCGAATTGACTAAAAATTCAACGTGATGAATATACAGTGACTAAACAAAGAAAATGATATAAGAATTTGTCGTTGAATTGGATCATGTTCGTCTCAGAATACAGTTTGCATTTAGCGACTTCCTTTCGCTTTCTGAACAGTTCGTACTTCCATCATGGACAGTGAATAAACTTTTCGTAAGACTGATCAAAAATTCTTCGCGCTAATGAAAGAAATTTCAGGAATCGGGCACAACACCTATCGTTAAGAACAAATTCATCGAAACTGAAAAATAGAGAAAATGCTGATATAAAGATTTCTGCCATAGAATGGCATTATATAGGTTGACCGAATTACTTAGTTGCAGAGATGGACAATAGCGCGCTATTCCGTCACTGGCAGAATAAAGGAATAACGGAGTAGCGGGCGTTATTTCGGAAATCGGAATCTGATAGCGATAGCGCCGCTACTGTCCCTGGATAGCGGACGACTTCCGCTATCCGCTATCAGTTCGTCTGCAAGTGAATGCAGACGTTTTCAATCATTGAGGTGTATTTGTGCTGCAACACTGCACCATAATTTAGGAGCATGTTAGAGTGTCAAAGTGCTTCGAGAAATGAACGTCAAATAACAATCGATGAATCGTTTCGCTCCGCTCATGGACCAGGTGTTAGCCAAAGCAACGTGGACAGGATGTTTTCGGATTTCGTGATTTATGACATTACAAATTGTGACAGTGTTTGGTGCCGAAAATACAGTTCGACATTGAATCATTCAAATGGTGGAAACTTTATTAACGGAAATTTTATCATGATGTTGTTGAATGGAGAAACTTCATCATATCGAAATTTTATCATTGGTCGTGTTGAATAATGTAAATTTTATTATTATTCTTTCTTAAATAAAAATTTTCAATCGTTTAGTCGCGTAATGAGGTTTTTCCACGCAAATAAGCGGTGCTATTGGAAATTTCCAGCGAAGGTTCGAAAGTAGCGAGTGGCGATAGCGACAGCGCTTCACTACTGCTTCGAGAATAATGGCGGTAGCGCCTTTTTTCAGCGAACATTTTTTTCGATAATGGAGTACCGATAACGCGCTATCGTTTTTCGATAGCGTGCCCATCTATGCTTATTTGGTTACCATTCGATCTCATATGGATGGGAGTCGGTAACTGATATTAACGATTGGAATCAACTTAGAAGTGATGGATATGGGAGAATACATATCATGTGTTTAGAGGTGGAATACACGAAATTATACTGAACATGAAGAACAACAAAACACGGGAGTTTTCCGATGGCAGATCGAGACTAAAAGCCCACGTTTGGAACTTAATCATCCCGTGCGCGCCTTAGTTAAGATGTGGAAGTAGGGATCATTCAAAAACTATTTTGTGAAGATGCTTTCGATGATTCTCTTCAAAATACTTTCATTTCAATGATATTGGTACATCACTCGGTTTCGAGCAAAACTTTCTTCCGCAAACGGGAGTCAAGCCCGCGACGTTCCAATTACCAGTTGGGACTCTACCTTTAAGCTACCACAGAGATCTCTCAGAATCCGTCGAGTGGTTGTGTTAAGATCGCAATCAATTCTTCAGCGCACATAATGCGAAACTATTTCGTTCTAGAAATACTTTCATTTCAAAACGCACCAATTCAAACGAAAGAATAAACGGATAGTTATATGGAAAAGGTAAGAGAGAAGAATTTCGACATTTATGCATATCCCGAATTTATGCACGAAGTTCAGGATGATCAGTCTGATTAATAAAAACTGGCCAATCTCAAAAGCATTAATTGACAAAATGAACACCGTTTAAAATTGACTGCCGTAAAATAGTCTAATTCATATCATCAATAACTTGCTTTTCGCATTCCTTCAGTTCAGTATATTATTATATTTAATTCACAAACCCAATTCAAGTTACTGTACATAATTCTAAAGGAAAACCAACAATGTGTAACGTTCAAATCATTGGAAAGTCAGGCAGACAAGAAATTCCCTAGAAAACAAAAATGTAATCAAGAAAAACAAACACAAATTCTCATCAAATATTCAAGATTTCACCACAGCAATTCGCCTATAACGCCAAACAATACAAACAAACAGTGTACAATGAACAATAAATCAACAAGTAAATAAATGAGTAAACAAATCAACAAGTGACCAGATTAAATAAACAAATGAACTGCTCTCTATTTACAGTCAGTCACTCAGCTACAAACGAGTTGTGCCTCATCACAAAATGGCGAACGGATTACGAACGTCACAAATGCTCTCAACCATTGTTCGAATCAAACGATTTCTGTTTAACTTTCCAACGAGTTCAGCGAATCCGACTTATTGTGATTACATACGTTTTATTCATTCATTCCACTAGACACTGTTTAGGATGAAAGTATTTTGAATGTAGCATTTATGAAAATTGTGTTTTGGTGAAAAAATGTACGTAAAAACTTGTCTAAGAGCCTCAAGAAAAGAAACGAATGCGTAAAATCATGAAATGTGTGGATTTAAAAGTGGGCTTTTCATATAGACCATAAAAGAACATAAACCACTCTGATTAATAAGAAAAGCGATAAACGGCATATGATTAAAAGAAGAATTAATAAATGAAAGGAACGTTTAGAATCGAATCTTTCTGTGCATGGTACGCTTGGGTATGATGGTAATTTACAGTCAAACGTACTATAGAGATATTGAACTGAAATCAAATGACCTTGAAAAGCATTTGAACTCATCTAAATCGTACTAAATACCTTCAGTGCAGAACAGCAGCGATTAAATTTATGGATAATGACATGTGTAAAGTGAAAATATATTTATGAAATGCACCCTTGAAAATGCTATATAATGCTGATAATAATAATAATAATAATAATAATGAACATTGATAATGAAAAGGTAGTAACAATAACGATAAAGATTAATAATAATAATAATAATAATAATAAT